GACCGATCGGGATTCCAAAAGGGGTAGGGACGGTAGGGGTAGGGGGGGGGGGGGGGGAAGGTGGAGTACCTCCCTGTTGTCGATCAATCGCTCTAGATGTTTCTTCTGATGACGATGCTCACAAATCAAAAACCATCTGCCAGCCGAAGGTTGAGCCTTGAGGAGGGGGCGAGATAGGGAGATGGCAACGAAGGCATTGGCGAGCAACCAGCCGAAAATCCGACCAAAAGGAGAACAGGAAGCAGAAGAGCGGAGGGAGGGAGGAGCCGGAGCAAAGAGAGGAGAAAGAAAGGAGTAGCATGTGCAAACTTACCTCGTCAGGACATCCTTCTGAATGTTTCTTGCTCGTCTTTGCTGATGGCTGAATGTCAGCAAGAAGGACGGAGGAGCCGGGGAAGGGAACAGGGGCCTACAGGAGAGAGAAAGGAGGAGGAGGCTGAAAGGGTTGCGCAGATTTGCGGAAGAGAGAAGAGGAGGACGCAGGAAGAGGTGCGCATATTTGCATCACGTGGAAGGTTCTCTTGAAGTTGAGGTTGAGCATCTCCGCCTGCTTCAAGATCGCGTCCATGGAAGGGGAAGCTTCGTTGGTGAAGAACCTGGAGGGAACGGAAATTCACAGGTAATCGGTGTCACGTCAGATAACAGACTTCGACTTGAGCAGGAGAGCCAGATCGTGCCGCATGCACTGCAGAACGGGTGATGAGCCAGAGAGAGGGGAGGGGGGTAGAGGGAGAGGGAGGGAGGGAGGGAGGGAGGGAGGGAGGGAGGGAGGGACGGAGGGAGGGACGGAGGGAGGGACGGAGGGAGGGACGGAGGGACGGAGGGAGGGAAGGAGGGAGGGACGGAGGGACGGAGGGAGGGAGGGAGGGAGGGAGGGAAGGAAGGAGGGAGGGAGGGAGGGAGGGAGGGAGGGAGGGAGGGAGGGAGAGGGAGGGATGGAGAGAGGGAGAGAGCGAACGCATACCTCGAACTCCCAATGTTTGAACCTCAACAGGCTATCCTCCTCCACAACATCTGGCCTCTGAAAATGCTCCAGCAGCTTGTTTATCGCTGTTCTCACCGCATTTAACCGTTGAAGCTCGACAAGAAAAAGTGTCACCATCATCTTCGATCTGTTCTTGCGACTTCTCCACATCAGACTGCTCCACATCTATTTGTGCTTCTGCTTCTGCATCCTGCTCCTCTTCTTTTTGAGTTTCAGTTTCAGCGTCAGCCTCTCCTCTCTTGCCCTTTTCCAGTTCTGTCTCCTCAGGATTCGTCTCTTCTTGCGGATCTTCTTTTCGTCCACCCATTTCGTTGTATTCAAAGAAATCTGGAAAATCATCGTTGTCACCATAATTGTCATTGTCATCGATATCGAATTCTTTCAAACAGAAAATTGCAAACCTTCCATCCTGAGGTTGATCCACAATTTCGGCTCTTCGTTGCCACGACTCTGCTCTTTCTCGGAGGAGCCTGACGACTCTATTGCCTGGTTTCCGATGATCAACGTCTCTCCTCCTCCTCCTCCTCCTCCTCCTCCTCCTCCTCCTCCTCCTCCTCCTCCTTTTCTCACCTCTATCATCGATGAAGATTTTTTCACATTCAGAGACTTTGAGCGTGGCAGAGACACGCTTTTCTCCTTGGAAACCTTAAAACTCCCGCCCTGCACTATCTTGCTTGGACCCTCCGCTGTTGGAGTGGAGACATCGTAATCATCGAGTGGGAAGGTCGGAGAGCAAGGGAGGAGGAGCAAGCGATAGCTAGCAGAGGTAGGAGGAGCCTTCAGAGCAGTACCGGCATCCCCGCGAGGACGAAGTTGATGGTCCAGGACCACCCGCTGAATGTTGGTGCGGAAGGTCACAGTTTGAGTCGCCCTCACAATCTCTTCTACCCACAATCTGAGGACGGCGACAACACAAGTCAGTCCCGGCCACCCACCGTCTCTCTCGCGCTCTCACTTCGCCTCCGCGTCATCAGGGGCCTCCACATGCAGCCTGCACTGCTTGTCCCTTTGGCTGCCGTTGAACATCAAGAAACCTGCTGGCCTTCAGATGGGCGAGTGGGAAGAGGGTCCGGCCTTACATCTGCTGACTCTCCTCGATGCTTCTTCCTCCCCTGTTATCACCAACCCTCGTCCTCGGCTCTGCAACGGGAAATGGATGCAGATCTCCTCATCCAGCCCCCAGCACTGAGGTGTCAAGTACATGTCCACACCTGTTAGAACAGTGAGCCGGCAACATACAACGCCAGCCATGGCAAGCGGCACGGCACAGGTGAGAGTCAAAACAGCAAGGCTTGGAGACATCTCAAAGGAAATGCAACATCATGCATCACGTGTACCACACAGAGATGCCCCTTACTCTTATCATGCAGCCTTGCCCAGTATCGTCGAGCGACACAAGGGAAATCCGCGTTCTTGACCTGGGGACTGTCATCCTTCCACAGAGTGCTGGCTGGACGCCACTCACCTTGAGCCATCCTTCCTTCAGCACGAGACTTTTCTCGATCGACTTCGTCCTGACAGTCAGGCATCAGCAAGCAAGGCCTTGCTGCAGATCCAACGACCCACAAGGTGCTCGTGATGGGATGGGGTTGCTGCGCACACAACGGCCCCGAACGGATGTCGTCGTAGAGGGCAGAGCAGATCCTGTTGGCCTCCACCAGAACCGAAGGCTCCTCGTGCTCACCCAACGACTGGCATCCCTCGACGAACCGATCCTTGGTCACGAGCCTCGACCCGATCCCGCGGCCGTGAAGGTTGTGATTCAGCATCACGGCACTGAACGAGAGCGCCAAGACAACATCCATGCTGCTGAGGAAGCAGACTCCCCGTTCGGTACCGACATGCTGCTGGAACCAGTGCTCCGACCAGCACGAGAGGAGCCGCCGGAGCTTCACAAGATCCGCTGGGAGCTGGCATCGCTCAGCCGCGAACCGAAGCCCGAAATCGAGGCGATGGCATTCCTTGGATGATACACACATCTCCATCAGACTGGAGAGCACAGATCGGTTCAGCTCCTCCTCTCCACTCAGGTATGTCGACACTCTCTCCTTGTCCAGACCATCGGAGAGGAAGAGGAACCTAGCGATGATGCGTGCGGTGGTCTTGGACTCAAGTAGCGTAGTTGCATGAAACCTGTGGAGCAATGTTGAGATCCCTTTCTCTACATCGCTGTTGAAGAGCGGGATGATATCCTCCACTGCATTGAAGGAGAAGGTAGGGTCAGGCTCTGCTGCCTTCGCTTCCATCTCCCTGGCGGTCGGCATATTGGGGACAGGTTACCTGTGAGGATTCACAAGGAAAGCGTTGCAGATGGGACAAAGGGATGAAGGAACACGCTTCGCAAGATAGTTTCATGCTCCATGCTTCTGCTCCTCCTCGCATCTCCTTCTCCTCCCAGCTTCTCCTCCTCCCTGCACCGCTTCTGTCTCGCCCATTTTCGGGATCTCGCCAAGAAACAATCCTCAGCCTTTTTCTGGTCAAGGCTCCTTTGCTCAGAGGTAAAAGTTATTCAGTTTCTCAGTGTCGCAGCCTTTAACAACGGGTCCGTTCGGGGCCGAGTCCGGGCCTCTCCGGGCGCAGGGACATGACCAGAAAAAAAATTGAGATCAAAACAACTTCAAATCAACCAGTGACTTTTGATTACTCTTTTTAAAAAACTACGAGCGATGCAGTTTGGGGTCCAACCATGAACATTTTAAATGATAGACCGATTATTGAATAGTGTTTTGAATATCTTGTCAAATTAAAAATATTTATATCGATACAATTATTCTTTTTTCCAAGCGCATGGACCTCGTGTGGTAAAGTGAAGTTGGGGATGCGTAAAGCGGGTGGGTGGGGTGCATGAGTGAAACAATCTGACCGGGTGGGTGGGTGTGCAGACCCTGTACCGGTCAGCAAGTTCTCCTGGGCGACTCTTGAGGAAATTCTCGTTTGACGGGGTACGGGTGTGGAGTTCTGAACCTGGCTCGCGGTCTTTCGTAGGGGTGGATTCCATATGGGGGGGGGTCCTGGATGGTGGGATGCAAATTGAACTGTGAGATGGATGCTGACCACCACCCACGACCCTTTAAAATCAACCACCCTACCTTGGTAACACGCAGTAAAAGAGGCGTTCACGGTACCTGCAGCCCACCCCTACCCCCTGCAAATCGCCGGTACCACCCGGCTTTACACCTCAACCATCACATGACCTAGCCCACCCTCGCCCAAAGAATACAACTTTGAAATGTACCGAAATATGAAATTTTGACTCTCTTCATTTGAAATAAGATCCGTCAAAATAAGGGAGAGAGACAAATATAAAACTTATGTTACACCCCACCCCATGTTTCCATTTCGCACCAACGTCTCCTTCATCCAGCATGCCACCCCCTACCCCTGCCTACCGACCCCATCACCTTCACCCCTGCTCATAACGAACCCCTGAAAATACAACACCCACTACCCCCTACACCCCCGTACCCTCTTCGACAGTGGTCCTTCGTACATTCATCACCGTCCCTTCCACTTGTTTCTGACCCTCCCCCTCTTTCATCGCGCCCCTCCCCCCCCCCTCCTCTTCACTTCCTTCTCCCTCTTCCTAGTTGTTCTCTTTCAGTACTTCTCTAGCTTCTACTTGCATACTCGTCTTTACTTCTGTCTCCGCTTCTCTTGTAATTGTCCATTGCCCTGTTAGCCTTTCGGTCAGTCCTGACGTAGTCCAGCCCATATTTTCTCTGCTGAACTACCTTGCCGGATGAGCCTTTTGGATATGTCATTTGCCTTGGCCTTGTACGGCCTACAATAGCCTATACTAGCAAACTTGATTCTCTGCTGGTCTAGGAACTCCAGCATCACGCTCAGCATCCTGAAATCGTCTCCACCCTTTAATTATAGCGAACACCGTCAAGATTTCTTTCCAACACAAAAGCTCTCACATGGGGGGGAGATGGACACAAGTGGCAGCTCTTCTTGCCCTTGTCGTTGGGGTGTTGAGGACCATTCTAATCCCTGGCTGGATTGAACACCAGCCATCTTTTCTGTTCCAGCTCCCCTTCGGAGCTAAGGTATGGGCTATCATGGGAGGTTTCATGCCCCCTCCGTTTGACAGGGAGCCGTTCGAGCCTTCTGAGTTCGCCTCTTGGACCAGGCCTGGGGATCTGATCATATCCCCCGCGCCCAAGTCAGGCACGACATGGATGCTCTATTGCAGTCATCAGATCAGAGCCAAGGGGCTGGACGAAGACTTCTATGATGTCAGCGTCAACACTCCCTGGATTGGTTGGAGGCACAAGCCAGGACAAAAATGGAGCGAGCTCAAGGAGCTAATGAACACTACCATCCTGGACAATGGGAAGAATCTCCGGGAATACTGGGACAATGCAAGCTACCCCTTCCGTATCTTCAAGTCGCACTTCGGCCCTGTCAATGAGAATGGCACAGAAATCGATGTTCTCCCAGTCAAGGAATTTCCGCACGTGAAGTTCCTTGCCATGCTGAGGAACGGCAAGGATATTGTCTCCAGCCTCGATACGTTCTTCAGTAACTTCAGGCCGGAGTACAGGAAGATGTGGGGAGGGTATCCCTTTGTCCACAAGACAAGGGTTGAGGCGCTGAAGGACTTCCTTCCTGAAGGAGTTCTTGGATCAGTGTTCTTCGGGTATGCCAAGTCGTGGTGGAAGTTCAGGCATGAAAAAAACGTCCTGCTGCTCCACTATGCAGACATGAAGAGAAATCCAGTGGGTGGTGTAAAGAGGCTTGCGGAGTTTCTGGAAGTCGAGCTCAATGAGGAGGAGCTGAACCGAGTAGTGCATAAGTGCTCGATCGAGCACATGAAGCAGCACGAAGAGAAGTTCAATTACCTCCTCTGGGCCAACCCCTCTTACAACGGCTCGGTCATGTGCGGGAAGGACCGCTGTGCGGGCATCACGGATGGCTCGCTCATCCAGCAGGGTAGGATTGGAGAAGGTCACAAATGGTTCACAGAAGACATGTTGAAGCTGTGGGATGAGGCAGTGGAGAGAGAGTTTCCTGACCCTGAAATGCGCCAGTGGATCGAAGATGGCGGCGACTTCTAAGGCATGAGTCGTCGGGAGTGACGTTAGCGCCAAATTCCTTGTAAATAGCAAGCTCGAGGATAGTGCCCCAAAAATCATTGTAGAAACTTAGGATGATTGAAAACACATTGAAAATGCAACGGAGAAGCGTTGCAGGATTTGGAATTCACTGGCAGCTTCAATCTTCGCATCGCATCATGACTTCTCCGCTCGATCGTTGAAGCTTTCGGAGCTCCGAGCCGAGCTCTGCCAGAGCATTCAGTATGTCCAAATAAGTCACTGGAGCAGTGAGAGGAATATGGAACCTGCCAAGGAGCCGAGGGCAAAAGCAACCTACCATTCGTGTCAGTACATCCCTCCGCACGCGTAGCAGCAGCACTCACATCAGACTGCCCGATGAGGGACATGAAATTATCGAAGGAGAGGATGGAGGATTTCGGTGCCTCCTGCGATAGGCCTTCGCTCTCTCCACCGCTGAGGGCAAGGATAATCTGGATGCAGTTAGGAAGCAGCGGAGTGGAGGGGGGAACGGGTCGAGCTCAACCTTCTCCAAGCTTGACTTCGCCTTAGGATACTCCACGAGGGGAGGAAGCGTCTCGTCCTTCAGCCCTGCGAGCTCCCCCGCTAGCTCGTGTGCCACCTGTATAAAAGTTTACTGGGAGCAGGCGATGACGCTCGAGTGGAGCAAAACCTTGAGACCTCCCAAGGCATCGACGAGAGCAAGCTCCTTTGCCTGTATCATTCTTCACGCAGCCGCAACCTCGTTTACCCTCACAGGACCTGGGCTCCAGTCCAGACTCTCCCTCTCGCTACCTTGTCCACCTGTGACAGTCCCTTCACCAACATTGCAGGGACAACATGTCTGGCAGACCTCTTCCAGACTCAAGTTCCTTGCCTTCGCCACTAGAGCCACGAAATCCTCGTAAACTCTTCTCCCCAGCTTTTCTGCCTTCACGCTCTGACGGAAAGCATGAGGATGGAAATGAGCCCAGCAAGGAGGCAAACTTGTGACTCCGTGAAGGGTTTGGTGGGGTTGAGATAGCCTGAGTTCTCCCCCTTCCCTATCTGACCAGGACTGTCAGCTGTCTTCTACTTCCTCCCCGTATGCCCCACACCTCGTCGTAGGAAACCCCGATCTGCGAACAGAGCTTGCCGATGATGAACTTGCCGTAGAAGGCTCCGATGCTGCCAGTAATGGTCCCCGGCTAGAGGCGACAGGCTTGTGAGTCGACAGGTGAGAGCGATGTAGAGCAGGACCAATGCAGTGATCTTGTCAGCTGCTGTGGCGATGTAATATCCGCCAGATGCCGCGTAAGTTCCCATTGATGCCACCACAGGCTTGCCTGCAACCAACAGCTTCAGTACATCCTTCAAGGACATGGTTCCGCCTACCGCTCTCTCTGGCTTTCTCCAGCTCTCGTCGAATGGTATCCGACGCCACCGCCGATCCTCCGGGCGAGTCGATGCGAACCACGATCGCCTACTATCTATTAGCCTGTACTTCCAACAAGGTCAGCCTTGCCTTGACTGACTCGTCCTTGTAGGCTGCGCGGATGGCCGCTGTGACCTGCTCGGATCCCATCTGGAGGTTCCTGGAGGAAGGGTTTCCGACGCCCCTCACGATGTCTGGCAAGCACTCGCAGCGTCAGGAGCAGATTGCGGAGGTGCAATGAAACTCTGATACCACCACAGGCGTTGATCAGGGCAATCTTGCTGCTCTTGGCGGACTGAGGGTTTACCATTTCGATCATGCCGGCATCTGCATTGTCATCTTCGTCAGTTCTCAGGGTCAGCCATCAAGTCTTCTTGCCGGCCCCGCTCTTCTTCAGCGCAGTCTTGGCGTACGCCCTCATGCTCACGATGCTCTTCGCCTCGAGCATGTCCAGCACCTGAGCACAGTCAGGCGTCCGTCGCCCCCTGACGTCTGCTGCCCTCCACCTGGTCCGTGTACAAGATCCCATCGACAAGGCCATGCGCTTGCGCATCCTGCGCGCTCAGAGGGCTTTCGTTCACGGCCTTGGACACGGCAGACAGCGGGAGTCTGCGTTGAGCCGCGATGCCGGACACGATCTGGTCAAACATGGACTCCACCAGCTTCTCCGTCTGCTCCCTGTGCGGCCGGGTATAGCCCTCCTCCGTGAACACATTTGGGGCGTTCTTGTACTCAAAGAACTTGAAGAACTGCACCTCAACTCCCAGCTTGCTCAGCAAGTTCTTGAGAAAGAAGGTCGGCATGCTCAGTCCCACCAACCCCACGCTGCCTGACGGCTGCCCCCAGTCATCGCATGCCTTCCACCAAGTCCCTGGGCTTACCTGGATGTAGATCTTGTCGAAGGCAGAAGCAAAGTAGTACTGAGAAGTTCCTTGCGCCCCCTCCCCAAAGGTGTCTGTCGTTACGCACGTGAACTTCCTGCTTGACTCAGGCTGTTCCTTTTGGATGGAACGGAAGCGTTCGATCGCTTGCCGAACCTCCTGAATGGTTGCCAGAGAGTGCAGGTTGTCCGTACCGAAAGTACAGACGATCCCCTTGATCTGTATGTGGGGATTTCGTGCCATGTCAGAGGCGTGAGGGGAGCGCGAATAGAAAGGTCGCACCCGCTTGTCTTTAGCAGCTTTGTGGATCGCATCGACAACATTCTTTAGCATGAGGGGTTGTCTTGGGGAGGTGAGGGAGGATAGAGGAGGAGGAGGTATCTCTACGAGGGGCAGACTCATGTCAAGGTGCAGCACGCTCCCATCCGGGATCCTCTCCTTCCTGCTTCGGGAATACACGACGTACTGCAAGGTGAAGAGGGGTCAGAGAGCTCGAGTGGCGAATGGGAGGGCATGGGAGGGCGCTCCTCCCGACCTGTCTCACCTGTGAGAGCACCAGTCCTCCTATCGCTGCTGCCCCAACCCTTGCCAGCAGTCTCTCTCCCCTCCTCCGCACCGCTTCCCACGACATTCCCTCGCTTACACCCTCATCGCTACCCCTACCCCTTCCACCTGATTGGGGTTCCTGAGTACCGGTTACTTACTCTCAAATACTACCCCAAAAGCAACAGGACCCACCCACTATCAATCGGATCCTCTCGGGGTCTGAGGCGGACTTTCAAGGCGGCTCTAGTATCGGCACAGTGAGGCTCACAACTCACTGGCACTGTCAGTGTCCGATCACCGGGGTAACTAGTAGTCTCGGTGGCAGCGATCGGCCCCACTGGGTGAGGGCGCCGGGAAGGCTGCGGCCCCGCAGGGCCGCGCTGAGGGAGACTGAGAGCTGGAGCCTCCGACAGGCTCGGCGAGGGGAGACGGTACGGTCGCCGTGAGTCGGACTCCCGGGCGGCCGGCCCGGCTCCCGGACTCTCAGTGACCGGATCGGACAGTGAGACCGTCAAAGTACTCCGTAAGTAAGAGTCCGAGTGAGAAAATGATCATAGCGGGGCTGAGGGACACTTCAAAGTTCATAAATGGCAGATGAGGCGTGGGAAGTAGATGATGACGAGGAGGAGGAGGAGGAGGAGGAGGAGGAGGAAGGAGGAGAGGAGGAGGAAGATGATCTTGATGAGGAGGAAGCTGCCGACTTCCTTAGGGCAGCTGAGGGAGGTGACCTGGCCAGCATCCGGATAGCAGAGGAGAAGCGGGAGCTGTTGGACGTGCAGGACGAGCTGGGCAACTCAGCGCTGCACCTAGCGATGCTGGGGCTTCATCTAGAGTGCGCCAGGTTCTTGCTAGACATCGGAGCTGACGTGAACAGCCTTAACGACGAGGGCAATACTCCACTCATCCTCTGCTCGATCTGCATATCAGAGGAAGCCGCAGCATGTGCGAAGCTCTTGATAGAGATGAAGGCAGACCCTGAGATCCAGAACTTGCCTTCCAACGGAGGAGGAGGAGGATGCAGGGCTTTACATTATGCTTGTGGCGAAGGGAACATGCCGGTGGTCAAGTACCTGATAGAGGAGGCTAAGGTGGAGCTCCGGGCGGTATCAAACGACATGTTGACGCCGCTGCTGTGCGCCATGATCAACAACAGGTCGGACGTGGTCTCCTTCCTGCTCAAGACAGACGCGGGTCTCCTTGACATCCCCGACAGCAACGGCGACTATCCCCTGCACTTCGCCGTCCTGGAGAACCTGGTGGACATGGTGCTGACGCTGTTGCAAGAAGGAGCGGACCCGCTCAAGGTGAACACGCGGGGGGAGACGCCGCTGTCGGTAGCAATGGACGTGCAGGCAGACAAGGACATCATCGAGATCCTCAAGCAGGCGGAGGAAGAGACCCGCATGCAGGCCATCGAGATCAAGGCGACGGAGATCGAGGCCGAGGCCGAGGAGCTGTCGATCCAAGGGGACCTGAAGGGGGCGGCGGCGAGGTGGGAGGAGGCGGCAGATTTGTACAGGCAGATTGGGGCAGCGGAGGAGGAAGGAAACTGTCTTCAGCGACTGCATGACATCGTCAAGGGCCAGGAGGGGCCACAGGCTGCGTCGCCGGCCGTTACGCCGATGAAGGAGAAAAGGAAGGAGGTGCGTTCTTCGTTCAGCCCCAAGTTGCAAGCGGAAAACGTCTTGAGCGGGAAGGACGAGGAGGCGATGATGGAGCAGCAGATCAAGGAGAACGATCTGCGAGTGCTGTCGGAGGTTAGGAGACTGTCGGAGAGGAAGGAAACCAAGATCGACCCGCACCTTGCCGCTGAATCCTTCTCCGTGCCTGACCTGCTCTCCCCTGTGATTGAGAGTGGAAGCGAGGTCGAGAGCCCTGATGTTCCGACGCAGCGGCAGGAAGCAGTTCGCCCTCAGAAATATTTTCAAGAGCAGGAGGAAGAGGGCGACAGCCACCTGCGGCGGGGAGTGTTCGAGGGGAAAACTGGAGTTTGGGTGGGAGAGGTGAGAACTGCATGATGATGATGATGATGATGATGATGACGACGGCGACGACGGCGACGACGACGACGACGACGATGACGATGACGACGGTGTCTTCGTCGACGACGCCACCGTTCGTCGTCGTCGTCGTCATCGTCGTTGGTGGTGGTGTTGAGAATGACAATGAGGAAGAAGAGGAGGTGAAGAGGAGGAGGTGACGATAGGGAGCGGCAGGTGTTTTATAGTGATGACGAGGGAGACGAGAGTGATGAAAATGAGGACTACGAACCTCCCGCCGTGGCACCAAGGAAGGATGCCAACGAGCAGAAGGCAAGCATGAAGCAGGAGGAGGCTGAGACTGGCATAGCAAAGGGAGGACTGTTGAGACAACTGCAGGTGCTCACATTTTAGCCTTCATGACTCTCCTCTCTCTCCATCCTTTCATCTTGACCTCTCCTTCATCCCTCCGCTTTCCTCCCCTGAGCTCTGTACACTGCCATCATTCTTCGTTCATCACCCTCCCCACTCCTTAACCTGCATCGCTCCACTCCCTTGGTGTCCTTCCTGCCTCATCTCATCCTTCGCTGCGATGTTTTGATCCCCTAGCAGCACCGAAAGCTGGAGGTCAATGTGGAGGAGGACAAGTCGGTAAGCTGTTCCTTCCGCTTCTCCCACTCCCTCACGTCCTCCCCTCGCAGGCACATACAGCCCCTCCCGAGGTGTTTCCCCCTCAACCCGCCAGTCGGTGCCTATCAGGTGACACATGAAACAGCAGGCGGAACTCGCCGCCGCCTCCTCCTCGCCTCCCTTCGGCATTCGCCGGTCACCATCGCTCGTAGGATCAGATGCTGTCCCAGCTACTCTTCTGACTTCCTCCAGGTGAAGATCGAAAGGCAGAGGAATATGGCAAGGCTGCACCAGGTGAGTGCGCCTGTCAGATCGAAGGTCCTCACTCGGTGCTTTCCTCTTTAGCGGTACTCCAAGGAATGGGGAGGTATATGGGGTCAGTATCGAGACGAGGAGTCGGTGAGAAGAGGGCGGAGAGGGGAGGCCTAGGTGATCCTGTACAGGTGAAGGAGCTGAGCTTGGAAGATGCGGCGAAGGCACTGGAGGAGGTTCTCAGAGGACAGGAAGAGCTGGGGAAAGTTGGGCTGAGATTGTTCGCACGGGCACGCGAGGCCTCCGACAAGTTCCTCGAGGTGAGAAGGGAGAGGAGAGCAGGAGGACTGGGAGCGTGAGAAGACTCAGGTGGAGGGGGGAGGAGCAAGGCGAGAAGGGGAAAGGGAAAGAAGGAAGAGAGAAGAGTGGGGATGGGGGATAGAGGGGGTGGAGGAGAGGGAGGTAACAGTGTCAGCAGGAGTTAGGGCGCAGGGAATAAAACTCGATTTAAAGTTACATGATCCTCTTTATGTACAAACTGCTTGCTGTGTGCGAGTTTGAATGGCTGAAATGCACCTGCCACGAAATCAGTCAAAGGGAGCAGGCCTTTCCTCAACCCAAGCTACTCTGTTCCTCCTCCCCCCTCTCTCTCTGCTGCTGCATTGCCCTTGTTTAATGGATCCGGTCCTGATTCCTCTTTGAACCACTCAATCCTCACCGTCCATCTATCCTCAAGCGAGAAATGTCCGCCGCCCACCCGCCCCCGGACTAACTCTTGCGCTCCACTCCTCCACTCCTCGCAAAACCCTCCTTCTCACCGCTCGAGGTCTTCGTTTTTCCTCCCCGTCAGGTTGAGGATGTTCTCCTGTGCTAGCTGGCACATACTTGCTGCGTTCTTCAGTCCATCCCCTTCCGACTTTATCCAGAACTACAGCAGGCTCGTCAGGCTCCCACCCTGCTCGCCTTCCTCCAACCACCTGCTCCGCCCTTGCGCACAGGACCTTCCACAGGTCCTCGTTCTGTGCCATCGCTACGTCTCTGCATGCCAGTGAGATCCAGTCTCGCCCCCGCTCCCCTCTCGGCTCGTCCTCGAACCCTCCCTGTTGCCTCCTCGCTGACCCGAGCTTCTCCAACCACCTCTTCCTACCTGCTGCAGAGGTCGACTGTCTCACGGAGTAGTGGAAAGTGCATCTAGAAGGAAAGAGTAAGCTGAGTGAAGCAGCGCTCGAGGCGCTACCGATGAGATGGAAACGAGAAATGGAGTCCAGACCCAGGAGTAGATGCGGCTGGCCCTCTCCCTATGTACCGGCAATGAGCTGGTATGAGGAGGGGTATGAAAGAACAAGGGGGCAGGAAGCTGTGGAACAGGAAGAAGATGAGGACTTTGAAGGCGAGGACGAGGAGGAGGAGGAGGAGGAGGAGGAGGAGGAGGATAACCTGTGCTGCTTCCACTTGTCCGAGAAAGAAAGAATGGACATGGTACCTGCCAGAGAGTGAGCCAAGGAGTGTTCCTTCGACTAACCCAACTGCTCACTGGCAACATGAAGGAGGGAACGACGGTCGTTGAAGAACTTGTAGTCCAAGAAGCGCAGGTAGATGTCTGATTCGCTCGAGGAGTTGGAGGGCAGGACGGACGGATCCGCCGAGTCCTCCATACTCTGCCCAAACTCGATGGGCTCGCCGAGGTCACGGCGGAATTCATCTTCCCCATTCGACGTCTGCTTCCTCGTGGTGAAGTTTTGGAACTCGGCGCTCGTGTTTGAGAGCTCCTCCTCCATTCTCTTCAAGCTCGGGGCTAAGTAGGGGCACCAGGTCCTGCAGTGGAGGATGAGACGGGGGGATGGACGGCGCAGGAAGTGGGTGTGAGAGTCGTATAGGATGAAGGGCAGGATCACGATCAATCTTCTTACCGTTCTAACTTGATGATCGCGTGTGCTATCTGAATGAAACCATCAGCCACTGCGAGTGGAAGGGAAGGGAAAGCCAAATGACGAGCACACCACGGATGAGAACAGAAGAAGGGAGAGCAAGAGAGCAAGTGAGGAGTAGGAGTGGGAGGAGGTGAAGTCTATTGAGGCGGGGAGCAAGGCAGTCGGCTCAGTGTCACCTGGGCGACGTACACGAGGTTCATCTTGCCAAAGATGGAGGGTTGAAAGATGCGGGAGAAAAGCATGTCGATGAGCTTCAGCCCAACTTTCTGGAGGTCGAGGAGCGTCAGCAGACTGTCGGAGGTAGCGAGCGAGGGGATCGCCGAGTGCTCACATTTTCATAGCCCTCGTTGACAGCTGTCAGACCTGCAAGTGCTGGTCAGGTGATGCCAGGAACACCAGGACGGAAGAGGCGAACGGCAGGGATAGCGGAGTGGTAGAAGGAAGGAAAGCGCGAGGGTGGAGAGGACAGAAAAAAAGGGAGGGAAGGGAGGGAGGGAGGGAGGGAGCTCAGGGGCGGAGGCCGGGGACGGCACGTACCCATCAAGGAATTGCAAAGGTCCATCTCATTGAAATGATCGACGTGAAGCGGCGGCTGATCTTCAGCTTCGCCATCGATGGGGGCCGCGGGATCACCAGCAAGCTCGAGGATGTCGCAGATCTAACAAGGAACGAACTGGATCAGTCCATTCTCTCCTCCTGCCTCGGCCGTGTTGATGCCGTACACCCGGCCTTCCAGGCGATTTCACTCTCCTCTTCTTCTCCTTTCCTCGTGTTGCCGTCCTTTCCTCTTCTGTCTTCCTACCCATCGTCCTCTATCCTCGTCTACTCTGTGCTTCGTCTTGAGCATTCCCTTAAGTTCCTGCTCTCGACAACCTACCATCCCCACTCGTTTCTTTCACCTGTTGGATCCTGACCGAGTCCCGGAACCCAGTCTGTCGAAAAGCAGCACATGTCAAAGTCCTCCAACGTCTTCGTGTTCTACTTCACCTTGCCGATTGCCCAGATAAAGTTGGACAGTCCCATTGCTGTAAAGTTTCGCTTCACAGAAGGAACAAGCGCCCTGCAAGTCAGGGTTGAGCACTGTGCGGTCTAAAGAATGCTCCAGAATGCAAACCGTTGGGTCAATGCTGAAATCAGCGCGGTGTCATTCCGGCCCAGGGAAGCGGCAGCATGAGCAATCGTTGAAACCCCGCGAGCATTCAACACGTTGCTGATAATGAGAAGTCATGAAAAGAGAGACTTGAGGAGCACGAGATTGGGAGGATTCGCGACCAGGAGATGATGAGCAGCGAGGATCAAAGTTAAGACAGTCAAAGCAAAAGGAGAAGGCTAGCAACGTAGAGGGGAAAACAGCAATGAGAAGAAGAAAACAAGTGATCAGGTTACCAAAACTGTTGGGCGCGGTGAAAAAGTCCATTCACGGCATATATGTAGTTCTTGCGGCTAAAAACCAAGATCTTAGCATGAAGAGAGGCAACCACTTGATTGCATTACCCTTGTCCGCGAGGAGGAGCTTTCGAAGATTTGGAATAGAGCGGCTGGCAGGAAGCTGTCAGTTCATAGAAGGGAAACGTTTCAGTACATCAGGTGTGAGAGCATCGAAGGAGCAGAGAATGGGTGAAGGTGAAGGGGGGAGGCGGAAAGGGAACAGTAGCTGATGAAATCATATGCTTACAAGCTTCGTGAACTTGTTCAATGCTAACAAGACATGCCCAATTTGAAAGAAAGACTGGAGTCGACGACAAAAAGAGTCGGTCAGATCATGGTTGTCAATACAATGTAAAGAACACCGTCGATCCTCCTGACTGGGATCGATATGTAACAATCAGATCCACCTGAGAGAGAAATGATCAAAAATGATGGATCAGCGTAGAGGAAGGTCACAAGTTCTTCTCTGCTGCGAGCAGCTGCTATCTGAGGGGCAGATTTGTGAGCAAACCTTGCCTCGCACCTCCTGCCTTCCTCACCTGTTTCATAGCAGCTACTCTATCAGGATAGTGTAAGGGATGTGTCTTCTTTTTGTAGACACCAGGGGCCTGCACCATTCCCGGCCTATACCTGCCATGACAGTCACGGACGAGCTGAGGTAGAGGGCAACCTGGGGGTTGGCCCGGAAGGGGCCACGTCTCCCACCTCTGGTATGGTGGCCGCGGTTGCGTCCCACCGTCATTCTTTGATTGATAGAAATCTTTCCTGTGGGAGTATGACTGCTGCACTGCCCCCATCGGGTTCAACCCCTTGTCTTGCATCATCTGCCGGTCTCGAAATTCAGGACGATCTCTCTCTCGCCGAGGGGGTTCAACCAGGTTTTCGTTTGCCTGCATCTGGCGTCTTTGGTACTCAGCAAAGAATTCCCGACCGCCATGTTGCTGAGGAGCACGAGACGGCATCATGTTGAAGTCTGCATGACAATCAGAACTTACTGCCACAAGAATATGGTGAATGCTGGTGGGTCCACCGGAAGACACGGAGGGGAGAGAAGCGCTTGTAACCGAGGCATCAAATGGAGGGGGAAGGAAAAGACACAGAGGAGAGAGCGCGGAAATGGAACATAGGAATGCCGTCACCTTGCACTTCCTGTTGATACATGGGCTGCATGCCACGGAAGTTCATCGATGGCTGCATCGGGTTCATCTCCTGCAGGAATGCATTCACTTCACTCAGCCTTGAATTGTTCCGATCAAAAGCGGGTGGGGATGGGGCCGAGCGTCAGCTCACCTGGTACCCGGGCATTACACCTCGCGACATGCCTGCCCCGGCCTGTCTGTACTGATCTGAGCAAGTTGAGTCACCCCAGAGTATGCAGCACAGCGCTCTCAAGGAGGCCCCTTACTTGCGTTGGAGAACATGGCAGGGTTGTTGCTTTCCATCCTCTCGATGTGACTGTCCTCAGCGTTTCAGTTTACAGAGCACAATGACGAAGAGGGGCTGTCACCCCCTCTGGCGAGGAAGCCCTTGCTGGAAGCTGTCCATCATCGCATTCGGATCGTTCTGCTTGAACATGCCCCTGCAGCAACATGAGAGCAAGCGCGACGCTGTCGGTCCTTACATGCTGCTCATGGGCGGCTGATTCATAGGGTGCTGCATCCCTCCCTGTTGCCATGGCGCCTCTCGCCTTTGCCACTGCTCTCCATTGCCGTAAACATCAGCATACTGGCCTATGTTCGGGTTCTGCTGCCGCATGTTCATGGGATAGTTTTCTCGCGCGTCCATCCTCCTGTCTCCGCCTCCTCTCAACCGGAGCACGTGCGTCTGAGAACGCGAGAGATCAGCTGCCCGAGTCCCATGGTGCAGTACTATGGCTAACACACAGATCGAATGCCAAAAACGACTGTGCATGGTTCTTCTACAAGGTGAGATTTCTGCCTGATGCTGTTTGCTTTGCTGTATGAATAGACAGCTCTGGACTCCGGGCGGGCGCAAACACAATGAGAAAGCTGCCAATGCTTGAAGCTCCCAGAGCGCACGAGGGCGGGTACAAGTCTTTTCTAATGCCCAAAACGTCTCCCCCCTGCTTGATGGATTGAGCAAGAACAAAGTCTAGCGGGCGAAGTGACTTGACTCCGTTACCGTCCTGCTGCAAAGATGCTGGACCAGGTGAGGGGGCCTGGGATGACGAGCAGGCAAACAATGGCAGACGGCCTAGGTAGGAGGAAAGTAGACGAGACTGCGATCAACTCCAGGGGCATTCAGCTCTCATTCTCCTTGCCCTCCAACTTGTCTTGGTGTTTGTTTTCTGCAGTTTCTCCTCCTCCTCCTCCTCTCCCTTGTCCTTCTTCTCCTCGATCTGCTCCTCCTCCTCTACCGCTGATTCTGGCGCGCCATCATCGGTCGCTTCTTCCCTACCCCCTCTTGATTCTACCCCCACCCCATGTGAAATTTCCCCTACCCCCCAAAAAATACCACCCTACGATGTACTTGGTGCAAAGACTCGAAAGATAACCCCTTCCATGAGCTGAAGGCAGTAACCCCCTACCCCCCGACATACACCCTCCTTCAGCACTGTTCACTACCCTACCCTACCCTACCTCATCACTGATTGGGATGTAACGGACGTACCCGTCAAGTCATGCTCCTGGGCCGCTATGTGCTCTGCTGCAGGACAGCTTCCATGAGCCGTGAGTCTAAGTTCCTGGAGGAACAAGTGCGCAAGGAAGGATGTTTGGGATGGATCCTAGGCCCTACGGGGACGGGGAGGGCGATGGCGACGACGTCTTTCATGCAATCACTGAGCAAAGAGGGTTTCCCCTGGATGGTTTTGTGCTGCAGGGGACACAAGTACATGAAGACTTGTACAGTACATGTTTGCTATGTTGCCATGGTGACTGAGAGAATCGCTGACTTGCTGTCACAACCTAGCTTGCCCAAAATATCAACTGCTGACAACCTGCTTCTGCCTCTTCCTGTCTGCCTTGTTTTCCATGCTTCGTTCAGGTCCTCTTCTTCATATAGCTCGATGGAGGTTGCTACCCTTCAATCAGGCTCTATTGCATGGCATACAGATACATTCAACGAAAAAGCCTCACGCAATCAGCCTGGACCGACGCCGCAAGATTATCCACATGATCTTGGGTCCATCCCAGCCAAGTACGCTTGATTCTCTTCCTGGCCGCAAAGCCACCGGCACCTCGAGAGCATGCCCTTATTCTCCACCCTGCTTACCCTGAACTTGTCGACATTCTCCGTGGGAACGACAAATACAATCTCCACAGTACACAGTCCATGGGCTCCCTTGTATCCTCAAGGAGGTCCAAGCACTCTGAGAAGTACCGCAGCTTGAGGTCATGAGTCTCTGATATCGTCACCTGCACACAGCGCACAGTCTTTGTCTTCCAGTCCACCATCACAGCATCGTATCCCCCCTTATTCCACCATCACAGCATCGTATCCCCCCTTATTCCACCATCACAGCATCGTATCCCCCCTTATTCCACCATCACAGCATCGTATCCCCCCTTATTCCACCATCACAGCATCGTATCCCCCCTTATTCCACCATCACAGCATCGTATCCCCCCTTATTCCACCATCACAGCATCGTATCCCCCCTTATTCCACCATCACAGCATCGTATCCCCCCTTATTCCACCATCACAGCATCGTATCCCCCCTTATTCCACCATCACAGCATCGTATCCCCCCTTATTCCACCATCACAGCATCGTATCCCCCCTGATTCCAGTTCAATGGCATCAGGCACACCCTCTCCCTGTTCTGCTTTCAGAATCGTAGACTTGCGTTGGGTCAAAAGTTTTGACAGCAAAAAACTCCCCACTTGATTGACTCTTTCGTCCTAGTCGTCATCACCTGCAGCCCTGGCTCCTTCGCTGTCCGAGCAAAGAACAGCATCTCAAATAACACTCTCCGAAGTGTTTGATTCTCGTCATCCCAGGAAGCTCCTCTACCTTTCTCACAAACGATTCTTCATGTTTCTGCGCTAGCTCCGTCGCTACAAACTTGCTCATCAGCACCCATTGCCCCCCGGCCTCCAGTACGATTCTTCCCGTGCAGCCGATTCACAAATTGTTCGGCTCGGTCCCCTATCCCAAAATTCAACACAGACTGAATATCAGTCACACTATCCATCGCGTCACTCAAATCTTGGATCGCTTCTTCCCTAGTGCTTTCAAGCATGTACCGGCACGAGCTTCTAACTATCTGATACTTTAACTCAACCTCTCTCGCCCTTCTTTCGTACTCGAGTTCCCGCGGTTCATGCCTTCTGATCCTCTCCTTCAAGTTTCCCCTCAATCCCATCACGTCCTCCACGGCCTCATGGTACAGCAAGTCGTACTTGACGGCCTCCTGGTACTCCTCGAGCGTCTATGGGTATATTTTCAGTTCTTTCGCCTCTCCTCAAGATCTTGCCCATGATTCTTCTTGCTTCTAGAGCCAGCGTACGCTCGTCTCCACAGTCCTTTCACGGCCTTCACGCGTCTTCTGCGCATTCTCCTCTTTGCTGCGAAGGTATTCCAGAAGACGATTCTCTGCTGCTTGAAGGCTTTCCCACTGCTTGTGCAAGTTCTCCTTCTCCTTGTGCAGGTTCTTCTGCTTCTTTTCGAGTTGTGCTTTATCTGCTAGTATTTGTTTTTCTCTCTCCTCCAGATTCATCTGCACGACCCTCCAGTACTCTCTCTGAGCCCTTCCTCAAAAAGCTTCAGCACGGCCTAGCCTTGTTCTGCATCAGGTCCTTAAGCTCTGTGTGAAGGTTTCCTCCTGCGTCTGAAGGTTGTCCTCCTTCTGAAGATAGTATCGGACATGCTGCCAGGCACGGTTCAGGAATGACGAGGTTCGGGGATCATAGGTAAAAGAGGGCGAGTCTTCTCCTCTTTACTCAAAGCCTCAGTTTATCAAGAGGAAAATGGAAAGAAACAGACAGTATACCGGACCCAACTACTTAAGGGAAAGGTGGGGGTTTAACAGCCGGGGCCCAGCAGAGAAAAGGGGCGGACTCAGCCAGAAAGGAAGCTGTACGGTCATGATGGTAGAGAAGCGGGGGCCTGACGACCTACTATCATCTGCTGCGTGTCGGAAAGTTTCTTGATGACAAGGTTGCCTTGGATCTGGAACTTGAGGTCGATTTGATCAGGATTCCTGCACGCGGCACATGAGGACAGCGGACAAGAAGTGCAAGGCAAGGCCGGGGACCTCAAAAGTTTCTCATAGTCGTCAGAGATCACAATCTTCTTCTCCACTTTGAACCGCGGGATCGACGATCGCATCGAACTTATCATCTGCTCCATATCAGTCGAGGCTCGCAGCCTTAGCTTGCCCTTACCGAAGGAGAGTCCTCGATGCATCTTGACAGCGACTGGAAGGCATCAGGGAACGAACGACTAGTCCGACAGACAGCAAACCTTGTACTTGCCGTATTCCGGGTTGTACTCTGTAAGCCCCTTTCCTTCTTCATTCTTCTCCATACTTCTGCTCTGCATGCTCTGCCACCATCTCTTCATCACCACGAGGCTGTGCCATCGGGGCGCTACGCACCTGCGCTCCAAAGTATCTCCTTGGAGACTCCTGCACGCGCTTGGCGATGCTTCCTTCCCCCCTAGGACAGTTTTCTAGATTGTAGAAAGCCTGTATGTTTGGCTGGGGCTTGGCGGCAGAGAAGCGAGGAGTGCTGCTGTTGAGGTTCGAGTATCTCCTGGGAGAGGTCAAGATGCTGCAAGCCACTGTAGGTTTGATAGGGCAGTTCTCGAGATCGTAATGACTTCTTGGAGTGTTCTCGTCCCTGATCGTGTCGAATTTGAAGGGTTTGGCGATAGCAAAGAACGGATTCCCCGAAGTCTGCGTCGCCTTCCAGATCGATTTCTTGTTCCCGCTGTCCACGTCGTAGAACCTGTCCGATGCCGCATACGAAGTCTTGGACTCTTTTCGCCCCGTAGCTAGGAATGAGCTGATACAAAGCAGATAAGGAGAAAGCACAAGAACTTATGCACCCTGAAGCAACTCACCTCTTGCAACCTGATTTCTCTTGCGCGCTCGTTGCAATGGTTGTCTTATTCAGGACGTCAAGCTTGTATATCGCATCAGGGACAGCTGAATGGCATTAGCAAGTGACGATGAAACTGTTTAGCATCTCACCATGATGCGGTTCATGAATACGAGGAGAGGATGAATTCATGATCGCATACCGCCTTGGTGACTTGTGCAGGCGGCTGAACCAAGAAGTGACTCAAGACATGAAGAGAGCAGCATCAAGTGAAGCAGGCATATCAGAATTTTCAACAACTCACTATGACAGATCGTGGAGCTTTGAATCATAGTCTCCGTGCACCTGATCAACCCTTCAGAAACGCACGGAGCATATACGTTGATATACGAACCTCTGTCTCAACCTCCGCTCTGGGAGTCTTGGACTTCATGATGCTGTACTTTTGCGGAGACGATTGTACTGCCTGGAAGAAAGCAACATGATACATGCACGGCTGCAGTCATGGTCAAACCTTGACGAGATCTATCTTATTCATGGTATTGACTTCATAGGTTGCCTCAGGTAGAGATGAGTTTCGTGCCGGAAACCTGGTTGTTCGTAAGAATCAGTTCGCCGCCATTGCACAGGATAGGAGAAGCTGCGACACATGCTTCACCTCGGCTCTGTAAAGTTGAAGGAGTAGTTCCGGTGATCATCTGCGGGAGAATGACTTCAACGTAGCAGGAAAGAAGGGTTAGCACCCTGGACCCTCTTAGCTATCGTTGACTTGTTGAGGTGGTCTATGTCGTACACGAGATCACTAGTTGGTTCGATCGCAGAGGACTTCACGCTGGGCTTCCGGAAAGTCGATGCATACTTCCGCGGCGAGGTCTGGACGTCATTGGACAGCTCCCCCACCTTCACGTTATAGAACAGATTTCGACTCTCATTCTGTGCGCCGACATCTTTGAACCTATCTATGTTTGATTTGAAAGCAGCTGCATACAGCCGAGGAGAGGATGCAATCTCTGCGTCAAGCTCTTGAACCGTGAGTGGCATCACCAATGCTTCCTCTGACTCTCCTTGAGCCCACGTCAGGAAACGGCACTGCTCTCGGGGCTATAACCCTTCCCCTCTCGAGGGCAAAGACCCTCCTCTTCCAGATAAGATCACAGCTCAAGGAAGTCAGCTCATTGCAAGCGCAGGTTGTGCTTCAACCTTGCCTCCTCCTCCTCCTCCTCCTCTCTCCTTGACTCTCGTCGCCCAACTAACCGCATGTCCGCACAACGGCCCAATATAACGGTGAAATCTGCTGTGTAACGGAAAAGGTCCATCGGGCCGCGCCGGCTCCGGCCCGGCCGGTTCATTGATGATCACTCAACTTCGATGAGAAAATTTGATTAAAAACTTTCCAAACCAGCTTGCGACTGGGCGCCGCCGGGCAGGGTAGGAGTCAGGCCCGGCCACCCGGCCCGCCCGGGCTATTCCCCAGATCTGTCGCGAATTGTACCCTCATCCCCTCCGACCCTTTTCGAGCACCCCACCCCACTATGGAGTACCCCACCCCAGAATTTCATCATCACCCCACCCTTGTGGTATCACGTCTCGGTTTCCCCTAAAGTTGTAGAGCTGATCCCCTTCTTTCCACACCCCATCCTTCTTTTTAATACCCCACATTTTAATATGAATGTAACGGGTACAATGCTGATGATTATATACCCCCACCCCATCCATTGCAGCGGCTCCTGGAATTTTCGTTTCTGACCAGTCCGAAAGGCTGGTTGTTCTGACCCCACCCCGTTAAGCAACGATCATCACCCTACCCATTCCCCAAGAAGATTGACAACCCTTCCCAGACCAAATAGTACCCCCACCCCACTCCCCACCCCCTCTGCAACGAGCTGTCTCAACCGCCCTTCACACACGAAACAGAAAAAGAGCAGACACATTGGACTACCCCCTGAACCCCTTCAGTACTACCCCTACCTCATCTCCGAGCCACCCACAAAAAGGGGTGGAGCAGGAATTCTCCACATGCGGCTCTTCGAGGAAACCACCGGTCATTCTATACTGAATAAGTCGGAGAGTACCCCTCCCATTCGCATCTATTAGAAACATTGCTGTCATGACCCATGCGAACCTCCATGTCAAAAACAACCACCCCCTTTATGAGCCAATAAATGACCCCTACCCATCCCTCCTCGCGTCGTCAGGGGTACCGATTGCAACTTGGGGAATAATTCTTCCCCAAATTTACTACATTCCACGAATTTTGAAAACACATCTCTTTGGAATTGATGACGGGGGGGTGGTATCACCGGTACCTCTGACTGAAGCAATAGGGGTACTCGTTGTTTCCTCCTATCACCGGTCATTTCGTCTTCAAGTTCCCTGGTAGGGTAGTGAATAAGTACCGGAGTTTACGACCGACAAAGTACGGGTAGCGATGTCCGATCTGCTGCACCCGTCCTGCTTATAGGAAAAGAAGGGGTGTGCCGCATTTCAATGCACCGGTCTCTTTCTCATAAAAAAGAGGGGTGCTTCTCTAAATATAACGGGGAGATCCAGATAATTCACCACCTACATTTCATTCATACCTACCGGTAGTTTACACCAGATTTTTGTGGTCCGAAGCGTGGTAGGGTGACTACCCCCACCCCCACTTTCTCTACCCCCACCATATCCACGTTTCCTCCAGTCTGGCTTGCATCCTCCCCGATCTCGCCGCCACTCTCGTGGTGTTCCTCCTCTCTCCCCCCTCCCCCCCTCCCTCCCCCCTCCCTCCTCCCTCTCCCTCCCTTCTTCCGGACGAGCTTCTTGGCGCACACAGCATCTCGTCCTTCCCCGAAGCTAGACCCGTTGCCCTGTACGTCGCCAGATTTCATCCGTTTCGTGAGCGAAAGTAGAATCTAGCAGAATACGACCAATCGTGAAATTTTCAAACTGGCGAGACCAGGTTGCAACAATGTCGGTGGTTCATCACTCTCCGAAGTTGACTTGTTACGATTTTGTGGACTGTAGCCCTACAAACTCTGATTATTACACTTCGGAAGTGAAGTTTGATCCGCAATCTCTCACGTGCCTGCTACGTGCGGAAGAAGAAAGAATACCGCAATGCTGGAGGCGTTTCGATGAAGAACTATGCAGAACAGAGAGAATATCTATCAAAAAATTGATTGGCAGCTTAGAATCTGACAGGGATGGAAGCTCTAGCTCGTATTCAAGCAGCACCTACAACAGCGGGACTGAATCTTCGCATACATCTCCTCATGTTTCGTTTGCTTCGACTGAACTGCGGCGGGGTTCTAGCAGGGCATCGCAGTTGAGTCTGTCGTGGAATGATATCAAGAGGAAGGGTGTCGAATGTGGAAAATCAGCTTCAAACCTGTTTTGCTCGGCCCCAGTCACAAATATTCGCAATTGGGCTAGGAACCAGAGTATGAAAGTTACCAACATCTCACTTGTTAAGAGCATTGCGAAAAGGTGCCGAAGCAAAACAGAAATTGAATTGGAGCAGGAAGAACTCATGATGCTTTTTCAATCTGCTTTGAAGTGTGGTTCTGTGAAGTTGGCGGAAGCAGACAAATAGAACAGGACTAGGGAATATTTGTTTGACATATTCTTTCAAGAAAGTGACATGTACATATAAAAATCTTCTTTAGTTCCGCCTCTCCTTTGATATCTGAATAAACCAGAAGCTTCATTGAAACAACAGATCCGATCTCTTCGTGTACCTGGTTTCTCCGTCGATTTTTCACGTCTACATGAGTATTCATTCTATGTTGTGCACAAAACCTTGGCGAGAACAAGATGCCACGTAAAGAGAAACATACAATTCAGAGCTAATTTCACATCAATCGTAGGAACTCTTACCGATCTGTGCTGTTCGGATCGCCATAGCTCGGCCTTCTTTTGCAGCCATCAAAAGAGCATCCTGTTACATCACTCAATCATCTGGGAGGGATCTGCGAGAGAGAAAACTGACTGGAATTCTTGAGATCGATGTACCCCGGCAGCTTGTGCTCTGAGCAGAACCTCAACCGTTTCGGTTGTACCTTGGGATCGCCTCCGATCTGAAGTCAGTACAAATAAAGGAGAAGGGGGAAATCTACCAAAGGATGATTGACGCATGCAGCCTTCTGGGAACTGACACCGTCTGTAGTTCCACCCCTTCCTCGATGGACGCCTAGGAGGTGCGTGATGGCTCGCCTTCCTCGACTGCGTGCCCGAGGTGCGGTTGTGAGACCGGAAGAGCACGGCTCGCAGCTTGCAGCGCCAGATGGCCTGTGGGTCGACCAGGCCTGAGCCACCAGCCTCATTCTTCTGGCGGGCATCACGAGCGTGCATGGAGCATAGATCCGCTGCTAGGAGCGGGCTCGGGTCTCTGTCCTGCTCTCCCACTGATCACCAGCATCAAGTCGGGGAGGTGCCTTCACCTCAGAGTGGTTGTCCCTCCTGTGAGTTTGCAGGCAGAGCTGGAATGAGTCAGAAGCGAAAGCGCCCGACGACACAATCAGTGACCTGAAACCTGCGGAATCGATCGGCAAGGCAGAAGCGAGCAGCTCTGCCGCAGCCGGGGATGCTTGTCCTACGGTCAGTAATGGGAAAACCTCGTAGGCCACCATCCTCACCAACACTTGGGAGGTGAGAGCGGCTTGTCTGTTCTGCACTTGTGGAAGTTGCACCAGGTAGCAGCGATCGTCCATTGGCATCCCTTGACGCAACCTTGAGTTCTTGTATGTCAAGCCTGTGCTGCTCAGGGAAGTCATTTCGAACCTGCCAACTCACTGCCGTGTGTTGCCTGCCGATAGCAGGTGCCGCATCGCCCTGGAGACGCTTCAGCAGAGGATTCAGCGGCCCCCACACTCTCCACTTGCCATGCAGCTCGATGAACTCATCGGACGTGTCGTTGTAGACGTTCACCTCGATGTTCTCGCCATGCTGATTCCAGCCATCAGCCCAGTCTCGCGGGCAGGACACGCATACCTTCACGCAGACAACCCCCTCTTCCTTCTGCGAATCACATGGGCATGAGATGAGAAGACGAAAGTGAAAAGTCCAATGACCTGTTGCGATGCACATCTGCTGCAATATTCTGCTCTCCACCATCCCGTCGACATGCACAGCAGCCCATATGCTATTTGCTCGTCCCCGCAAAGGTTACATCCGTCGGACAGGATCGGATTCGGTCGGATCTCGCTACAGAGAGAACATAGACATTGACCCTCTACGTCCAAGAGAGCATCGAGGTAAGGAGAGGACACGTTCGCGGCACGCCATGCACCAGCGGTCGTATCTCTGCTCCCCCCGCGGAGCATGCCCACTGCTGTGCGACAGAGGCTCATGCCTTGAGCTCTGATGTCATCCCAGCCACGTGAGGGCGAGAGAGGTGCTACCATGATACAACAGGAGAGGAGGAGGAGCAGGGAGCCGCTCTGCTGCCCCCTCCGCCTCATCCTCCTTCCATGCCATCCCCCGACGGAAGCAGATTTGAGGTGTACCAGTACAGGCCTAGAGGAGGTGGGTAGTCGAAGGGGAAAATACGGGTGGGTGGTCGAACTGTTTGGTGGGCGGCAGGATGGGATGGCGAGGCTGGTGCCTGCTAGTGTACATGATGGCTAGTGCGAGGACAGGAGGAGGAGAAGCAGTTGTAAGCTCGTTCTTCGTCTCTCCTCCTCCTCAACTTGCTGCTGCTGCTGCTACTACTACTACTGCTCCTCCTCCTCCTCCTTCCTCATGGTGTCTGGTACCCAGAGCAGCAAGGAGCTCTTTCCAAGACCTGGGATCTAGGTGTCGATCCTTCGCGGTTGCGGCTGCCAAGACGGGAGGGAGGGGAGGAGAGAGGGAGGGGATCAGGGATCATCAGCAGGATGTGGCAAGAGACTCTGCCATCGAGAGCGTCTACTTGAGCTATATCGACCTCGACCTCCCTCCCGGACTGCAAGGCCTGGCCGGCCTGTCCTCCAAGCTTCCCGTGATAGGAAACTCCCCCCTCCCCCTTCACAGGATCGTTCATCTGACTGAGAGCCTGCAGGGCGCATGTTCCAGCACCAGATGATCATCGTCAAGCTCAAGTCCTCCAACCTTGTCCTGTTCGACTTCGAACCTCTGGACAAGACCTCGTGAGCAGAAGACGCGGCAGTCGACGCTACCGATGACGTTGCCATGGCAGGCCGTTGGTCGCAGCGACGCTGCTACTGGGTGGGAGGGTGCCAGGGCGGCTGCGATCAAGGGAGCTGCAGAGCGTTCCAAGGTTGAGGGAGTTTGAGGACACAGCCAACCTGAAGTTTCGCAGGAACAGCGTGCTCGTAGGGAATGCAAAGGAAGGAACGACGCTGGCAAGCATCGACAGGATGTAAGCATTTCTCTGCCATGCATTGTGATACTCCTCCTCGTCCTCCTCGTGATCACCATCATATTATCAATATCATCATTCATCACCAACAGCATTACACCCTCCATCGGATGCACCGTGACAAACAACAACCTCCTACAAATCTGACTGCTTCCCAGAAACGGTGAATGGGACTGCAACCTGCGCCTGCTACGGAACGACTGCCGGCATTACTGCGCTAAGATCATCAACGATGTCTGCTGAGGTGGAGCTCGAGGGAAAAGTAAAGGCTGTAGACTTGACGATGCGGAAGTGAAGCGCGGCAGGTGAAGTGATGCAAGTGGAGTGAAGCTTTTTGCTTCACTTGACTTGCAGCGTTACAATGGTGACGGGCACCTGAGATTGGCTGTGAGAACAAGAAGGAAGGTTTCCCTCCCGCTCTCACCTCGCTCCTGTTCCTGTCGTACCGATCCTGCAGGACTTGTCACTCTTGGAGGAGGATCTCCAGGTCCCCTCACCTGTTCCTGCACGATCTTCTCTCCTCCAAATGCTAACAGCATCTGCCATGACAGCATCATCATCCCCTCTCCTACCATTGCCGCTCACTTGTGTAGGATGCCATGCAAGCTTCCTCGCGAACGATCTCGTCTCGAGCTTCATGATCGTCTCCCCGGTAGAGACTTGGCACTGAACGTGACACGGGCTCCCAGTGAGCGCGAGGGACAAGATGCGATCAACACTTACCAGGTCGATCAGCTTGCGGCTTGAGGCCGAAGGTCTCTCTGCATCATCGTTGTCAGCCCATCCCCTCCTCCTCGTCAAGAGCTTTCATCACCGACGTCCGCTACCCCTGCCAAGATTTGCCCATCATGGCTGAAGGATAAGCATCCAACGCCCTCCCTGCATCCAGTCACTCCCCTCCCGTCGTTGTCAGCTCTTCCTCACTCCAAGGACGAGCAGGCGGGTCGGAGGCAGACTATCTCGTTGGCATCCCAGAGGCAGGAGGATCCGTCATATGCTCCTGTTGCAAAGTGGCTGCTGCTCGTCAGCCGCTGATCCACCGCATGCTAGCAGCTCTTGTCACCTTCCCGACCGATCCATCGCGATGGCAGTGCAGTTTGCGGTATGTGCTAGGAGGAAGTGTCAAAGACGCCGGCAAGACGGGGGGCAGATCTTCGACTGCTTGCTTCCTCACCGACAAAGTTGTGCACTGACTTGAGGCGATCGCTTTCAGTCTCCTGCGCCGCATCAACACGGATGACTTCCTGTGGTTCATATAGGAAAAAGAGTGAGGAGGAGACGACTTTAGGAATACGGCACGTACCACAACCCCTTTCTCTTGCGAGTCAAGCTTCTGCCGCCCAGCACACATAAGGACGCAATTATTCCCGTGCCAAACGAGCTCGTTGACCTAGATTCAACATCGGCTTCTGCAGTTGATAGAGGTATGACAATTACCCAATACTCCTTGTCGAAGGAAAGATTTGCAAGCGTCTTGTTCTTGTTGCTCCGTATGTCAATCAGGCGAACATTTTCCGACTGGCATCAGGCGGAACAGAAATCAATGGTTTGCCCAATCCCAAAGAAAGGACGGCATGAAGAAGGTGGTACAGAGGGCGAGATCAAGACAGGCAGAGAGAACGAGAGAAGTAGACTAAGGAGAGATGAGCGAGAAGGCATGCCTTGTCGCTAATCATCAGCATCGTTCCATCCGGACTGAAGAACAGAAATCTCAGTCAACACACGGGGGACGATCACCTGCACACTCACCTGAAGGAAACATTCAGCACGTCATCCTCTGCATCGATCTTGAAGCTCTTCTTCGCTGTCCAAGATTTCAGCGCCTTCCTCGCCCCATCCTCCCTGACCTCGAATGTCCCAAAGTCGCACGATCTTGTCGGAGGATGCAGTCGCAAGGACCTACCAAAGGTGAGCCTGCAACCTCCCCACACACAACAGCAGATCTACGTCCGAGTTGGTCGGGCTCCAGCTCAGCCCTTCCACTCCTTCCTTGTGGTCTTCGAGGACCAGCTCTCTCCCCTGAACCAACAGCTTCACCTCATATCTTTCATCGGCAGCACCCTACAGACCTCTTTGTGTGAGTCCACAGTCCACACCCTTGCGGTCTGGTCTGAGGACCCTGTGGCAAGCTTCTTCCCGTCGCAGTTCCATGAGATGGCGTTGATGGCCTTGCCATGACCATTGAGTGATGACTGCGAAACGTTTGAGAATACATGGTGTCAACTCATTGTGTGATGTTCATGGCAAGCAAACAATTATCACCTCGTGCGTTTTGGCCAGTTTCATTTCTTCAAGGTATCTGTCATTTCTGCCTCAGCCATGACGCAAGAACGTACGGACACACATAGAAAACGGATACATCGATAATGAGATTGTTCCTCTCCCTAACCAACTCCCATCTCCCGCCATCATTAGTTCTTGTCCTCTGGACGGAGGGACGCCTCTGTTCTTCCACGAAGGCTCCTTACGGTCCTCCCATTCCATTCTCCTCTTCTCCCTTCCCTCCGAATGTTCTGACCATCCCCAAGATCTCCCCTCCATCTTTCCAAGCATCTTCCGCATCTTTCGTCCCTCTATCCTCTCTCTTCCTCCCTCTCTCCTCACTGCTTCTCCCACCCTCTTCCCTCGCCCGGCATATCGCTCGCTTGCGCCGTTACAGATCCTCACATAACCGTTATATTATTAGCAGATTACTGAGGCCGGCCGGGTCGCGGCGGGCCGGGCCCGGCCGGGCTCTAAAGGACCAAAAGGAACCAGCCGCGGGCGGCGCCGTGCAGCTAGAATATTGATTACAAGGCCTGAATATTGACTATAAAACATGAACTCATTGACTAAAACACTCACACCGGGCTCATCCCAAAATAGAAGCGCAGGCGGCAATGGCATATGCGCCGCCGCACAGTGCTCGCCAGTTCAATGTGGTGATCCCCAGGGCTGATCGGCATACTCAGCAGAAGAAGCAGGTGCCTATGACTTGCGTCCCCCCCCACATCCCTTTGCTTCCTTTCCGGGATCCCCCGATCATTGAACCCGTCCGTGGAAGGTGTTTGACATACAACTACAGGTCCTTTCGATCATCCCGGTCATGGCCATTGGGCTCATCGCTACTCTGTGCATCCTCCACACTGCTCAGTGGAAGGGAAAGACCACTGTCCTCTTTGGTGCAGGTGAAGAGGCTGCGGAGGCACATGTAAGTGTCTCACCGTCGGTTTTCACCGGTTGTGCATGAGGTGTACTGACTCTGGGTCAGGCCATAGCCAAGGCTGCTGCCTTGGGCAAGGACGCTGTTTCTGCTAAGCTTCCACCGGTGAGTCTGAGAAGACATGTGTTCGAACTTCGTTGATGGACTTTGACATCAGGTATCCAAGGACATCATGGAGGAGGTTGAGAAGGCAGAGAAGGAGCAGCAAGGCGAGATGAACGTGGAAAAGCAATTTGCGATGGGCGAGGACTCAGTCAGCAGCGACGGCCACAATGGCGATCTCCGCAAAAAAGCTGTTTCAAAGAAAGCTTTGCACGCTCAGGGACTCATCCAGAAATCTGTTGCTGTTCACAAGAAGCTCGCAGCCAAACCAGCAATGGTCAAGGCATCGGCCAAGAAGCTTGCTCTTCACCACATTGCCAACAACAATGTCAGAGCTCATTTGATTAAGCACAAGCTGTAAGCTTGATCGTCGAGCCTGACGTGAAGGAAGAGCCTGGACAGATTAACAATTCAGTGTTTTGAAAGAATGAGTTGCACTTTTCTTTTTCTCTTGCAAAATATCAGGCAGGGCTGTGATTTGGAACTTTTCTGTTTCAGATTCGGAGGATTTCAGCAGTCTGTCTTAACAAATTGAATAAAAGACAAAAATGGTTGCTGTGGGGGTTTGTTCTGTGTGGTTTGGAGACAATTTAAGCTGAAGCAAATTGAATACGAATCAAACTTGGTCGTTAGAGATCTTTTTCCGTTGTCCATGTCCACCCATGTCTTCCCATCTTGCCTGGTTCAATATTGAGTTGCTTTCGCAGAGGACGTCACGTTATAGAACTGATCCCAAGAAAAAGCAGAACTGAAGAAATCACAAACAAGAAGAAGCACAGAAGGGGACAGGTAAGCCGCTCAAGGAGCGAAGGAAAGGATCAGTAGCTCGCTGCTCAGAGTTTCTTCGTTATTCTCATCCCTCAACGATCTACAAAGAAATTCAGCGTGAACAAATTTTTCTGGCACTTTGGATTTGTTGGTGACATGGCAGTTATGGGTGGGGCACTTATTCTACCGGGTACTATATCACAAAATAATCAGTGAAAGACAGGGGTACAAATAATTATAATGGGGTGGTACAGTTTTGTGAAAGAACGATCTAGATCCCAGGTCAGATCGACATGGCAAGGACCAGGCAAGTGATGGTGGGAGGGACGAGGATGAGCGGGAGGGTAAGGAGGAGGGGACGAGGAAATGGAGGCAAAGCAGGCAAAGTGTATGGCGAACGATCCTTGTTCTTAGACAGGATTGAGCTCAGGGAGATGGAGGAGAACAAGGGGTGTACAATCGAATGTGGGAATGAAACGGGGGAGGGTATACACATGGTCGAGGCCTGCAGTATCTTTGTTTCGGCCATGGTGTCGAAATTCGCGAAAGTAATTACGAGGACATTGATAGGATGTTGAGAATGGAAGGCTATCCTTGCCGTGCCGGATAACCATTCGGTCAGTGCTGGATCGTTGTCTGCAGCATCCAAGAGTAGCGAGAAGCAGAGGAACGACCCATTCCGATGTTGTCGACGATGTCAATGATGTCAATAATGTCGGAGATGCTAATCATGTCAAAGATGGCCAGAAACAGAATGATGAGGGAAATCACCAGTCAGTTTCCAGCATGACCTTTACTTGCGTCAGGTTGTGGATCAGCACGACACTGCTGCTGCTGGTCATTGCATGCTCTCTACTTCCATGTGAAGCCAAGAAGAAGGTTGGTGATAGGGCGGGCGGTTGGCAGCGGAGGAATGCTGACGCCCCATATGCAGGCGAAGAAAGTCAAGAAGGGTACCCGCTCCATGTTGCGAAGGGCAACGCTGACGACCTGCAATGGCTGCAGAGAAGGCGGAGGAGAAGAAGGAAGAGGAGAAGAAGGAGCGGAAGCCATGGAACAAGATGACCAAGGAGGATTGGGAGAGATTAGAGCGCGAGGCAGAGGTGAGCTCGATCATCGTGGTCGGCCACACGATCTGACGACACGAAGGGTCCCGGCGAACCCTGGAAACCGCCCGAGCCACCAAAAGTTCAGTTTGATCCCAAGAATCCGATGGAGTACATGCAGGTCAAACAGCGCCGTGGTTCTCGGGAGTTGCCCCGTTGATGAGGAGCGTTCAGGCATCCAAGAAGGGAAAACCTGCCATGATGTTCGCCACGTTGGATAAGATCAAGGTTCCAAGCTGATCAAGGCTGCCGCTGCCGTGCTGGTCTGAACAGAGGTGGATTTTCTAGGATCCTAAGACAGGGGAGTGGAGGGAAAGAGATAAGGTATGAGCTGATGACACGTTTCGCGCTGGGCGTTGTGAAACAGGTTGCAGGCAGAAACCGAGGAGCTTGCATTCCGCCACAAATCCCTGATGCAATCAGGTCCGTTTGAGCCTACACCGTGAATCGAGCCCTGATGGGAAACCTCGACTGCAGGGCACCTGGAGGCTACCCCTTACGTCATCGATCCAAACAAGATCCTGTGGACAGTACAGGTTAGAGATGATGCAAGAACACATCGAGCTCAGGTTTTTCTGCCAGGATGGCTCCAAAGGGTATGAAGTGAAGAAGTTCCTGATGGAGCAACCCGAGGTGGAGGAGTTCGAGTGGGACCAAAAGAAGACCACCAAGGCATCGTGGAACAAGGAGAAGCCCTCCGAGCTCTGAAGCCGGGCCATTACGAGAGGATGCCATATTCTTTACATCACATGCGTTGATGATTCTTGCATAGTTTACTCGAAGAGCGAATCAATCACAAGCACATTGTTTGATACACACAGTGTGTCGTAATTTAGTGGAACACAACAGGGGGGCCCTCCCAGGGGACTCCGTTCTTCCAGTAATCGTAGGTGGAGTTCATCGGAGCGCATCCGAACATGCCTGCAACCGCAGTAAGACTCAATGCATCCCCCAAGCTGTGCCTGTACCAGCAACGGCGCAAGGGGCATCGGGACCGTCGTCAGCAATGCCTCCCCAGGCAGGGGGGGGACCGACATCACCAGCATGGTGGTGGGCCAAGAAGGCCTCCACGCCCATAAGCTGTACACACAGTATCAGCTTGCAGATACGATAGGCTTCTTGATGTGTTTGATGGCATTCAGAGAAAGCGCACCATCGACGAGCTGGCAGGCACTATAAAGAAAGGCTGTCGAACGACACACCTTGTGAGCAAGCCAGAACAAGCAACACCACAAAACAAAACACATCCTCTCCTATGCTGCAGCGATCCCATATCAAAGCACGGAGGGCTTCTGGACAACCTCCACTCTCTAGACATCGTGCAACACCAGTGGAGGTCGGCACCAAATACCAAACCCCACAGCTTTTCATACATCTAGCCAGCATCTCCACCATGAAAAATGACAGCACATCCAGCAAGCCATCACACGTCTGCATCATTCACTGATGCTGATCAATCACGAGCGATTCCTCATGCCATTTCCCGACAATATTGCCATCGCCTCACCTTCTGGAAGAACATGGCGATTCCGAAAGGTCACCGCTCCTCGCCTTTTAGTACCCCTGCCTCGAAGTACCCCACCAGGGTCTTGTTGTGTTGGCTGTACGACTGGGTACTACCCGTATGGGTAAGACTAAGGGTAGTTTGCCTCTGGGCACCCCGTACACCATCACCCCCACCGTGTCTAGTGTCCACCCCACCTATCTCGTCATCGATGTTTTCCCTCTGCCAAGAAGTACCCTACCACAGGGCTTGGGATCATATTTGTACACCCACCCCTGCAAGAGACTACCCTGTCTAGATTAGACCTTTCTTGAGGCAAAGGTATGGTCCTTTATCCCGAAGGCTCATTCGTATTGGGTAGGGTACACTTTTCAAGGGTAGGGTACACAGACCAAATCCAACTCGCCTCAGAGAGGAACTAGGGAAAAAGGGAAGGCAGCAACATAATACTATACAACCTACGAAATGGTTCGCATCTGTCAAAACCGAATCTTATATAGTGATGAGGAGCGGCAACGGCTCCTGTCAGGCTCTGGTCGCCATGATGGCGGCATCAAGTGCGGCCGAAAGGTCTCGCTTGACTCGGAGTGCGCGGGCGCACGTGCATGGCGTGTGGGAAGGGTTCCACCACGTGCTCAAGGAGACGCTCCCGACTCTGCAGGAGAGGATGGATGTAGGGGAGGTGGAGAGAATTTCAAAGGATCAGTGGGCTATGCTTATGTGTTTTAGAGAGCTCTTCGACCCGCACTACGAACTAGGTCAGTCGGAAGGGAGGCGTCTGAGTGGCGGGGCTGACGACCTTATTTTGTCTCCCTGATTGCCTGCAGAGATGAGGATCTCGAGGCTGAGTTTCCAGAGAGCGATGAGGAGGTCGAGGATAACGGTGAGCGAGGGCGCGAGCGACTCTCTGTTCAACAAAGCCATGTTCATCGATTGGCGGAGATCGCAGATGAGGACAAGGAGAATCACGGAGAGAGAGAAGCTAGACTGGATGCGAGGCATCAAGGCAACCGCCAAGCAAGAAGTGAGCATGTGGAGCGTCCTGTACCTGTTCCAAGATACGATTGACATCACAAGTTTAGAAAAAGCTCTGGGCGAGGATTCTCAGAGACAGAAGCAGATCAAGAAGCCTGTCGACGCTGAGACGCAAGTCTGTGATGAAGACTGGCATCTCGTCTCGGAGGCATCCAGGGGTCAGAGCTTCCTGGCTCTTGTCAAACAGCCCGACATGGCAGTCAAGCGTTGTCGGTTGGCATGTTTGCATGCAAGGATGCTCCACAAGCTTCCGGAAAACACGGCTGTCATACCGGTCGCTCAGTGCTTGAAACTTCTCCATGAGTGGTGGTTCGTGACGGGCACCAGCGATCCGGTTCCTCTGCTCTAGCATGGGCGAACAAGCTGACTTTCCACCCGTCGCAGGGAGTCGTCGGCGAATCGGAGGTCGAGGAGGAGGAGGAAACGGAGGAGCTGAACAGAAGAGCACAAGAGAATCGATCGATGTTCGATCAGGAGAAGGGTGGAGAGTTCGAGGCAGATCGCTCGGAAGAATCGATGTTGACGACGCTGCGGGGGCAGCGCTACGGGTTATCTTCCTTCCAGTTCTCTTGCCTGACGACGAGACTAAGCGCGTCTGCAGATACATGTTCGCACGAGCCCCAATGCGCCTTCCCCAGATGAAGCTGCAGAGGATCGCAAAGGTACGGGACTGCAGTCTGTTGCTGGCTCTGTGAGCTGATGTTAGCCGGGGATGCAGGTGAAGCGGAGGCTCGAGGCGCTAGCAGGGTTGGATGACGATGAAGAGGAGAGTGCGGAGGAGATGGACTTGTTCGATCGTTCTTGAAGCGCTCCATCACCCCTCCTGCTGTCCACGTTCCGAACCCCTTCAGATCCTCCAGCTGAGGTGTCAGTCACTGTAAGGAAGAGGCTTGTGCTGCTGCTGTCACTGCGCGGAAGCTCCAGGTCTACCCTCGCAGCGCAGCAAAACTAGCAAACTTTATCCTATCATGCAAGCCTGAGCGCTCGGAAAGCATGACTCATCTGCATCATCATCATCATCCTCATCATCCTCTCCATCTCCAGCATCATGATCTATCGTCATCATGATCTACCGTCACCCTTTCATCATCATCATCATCGTCATCGTCATCATCTTCGTCGTCATCATCATCGTCATCGTCAACAACATCATCATCATCGTCATCGATCGGATCTTCAGTTCTTGTTTGATGCCCGACTTGCCAGGCGATGCCTCACTTTGGGGAATACTACCCCTCTCACAAGGGTCTACATATGGGGTAGGGGTAGAATTGTGCAGCTCCAAAAAGGATACGAGGAAGGGCAATGGCGCGGGAACCAAGAGGGAGGAGGGAGGAGGAGCGGTAGAGCGGGACAAGAGCCGTCGGAGCAGAGGAGGGAGAGGAGAAGGACTGGCAGCTACAAGGGGAGAGCAGCAGCTAAACGAACAGAAATTCATGCAGAAGAGCATTCAGAGCTACTTCCAGGCTCGACCCGGGACCCTGCGGGTAGGGGCGAAGGTGGAGAGTTTGAAGACAAGCAAGTGCGGAGAGGTGGTGAAACTCTCGAGAAACGACAAAGTAAGTAGCCTGCCTCTGTCCTGTGCCGTGAGCAGGATGGACAAGAAATGAGCAACATGGGCCCACGCGCTGAGGTGGGAATCGCAGGGTGTGTCGGAGGCAACAGTCTTGCTTGCCAACGGTGAGAGGATGGTCGGGTCTTCGATCATCGGGAAGGACTTCAACTTGAGAGAGGTGATGATGTCTTCGTGGCGCTGACCGCATCATGTTGACGGCACTTGTTGACCACGATGCTCGGAGTACGGCCCTGGCAGCATGAGTGATGAACGATGCAGGATGCTGGCGACGGCTCGGGCAAGGACAGCAAGTGGGTCAGCCCGACCAAGAAGCCGCCGGTCTGCGTTGACTCTTCGCTCCCTCGCATTACAGCCCTCTGCTTCTTCCACCGTCCTGTGCAACTTACTATAGATTGATCCTTCTCCTTAGCAGGAAACCATTCCCAAACCCCGCAGCCCAGCTGAAAAGAGTCCGGCGGGCACAAGGAAGGTCCAAGACATCATCTCGCCTTCCAGCAAGAGTCTCGACTCGCTCCGACTGCAGTCGCCCAATCGATCGCACAATGCCCTGGCCTCCTCCTCCTCCCCCCTTGCCCTGAGCGTTTCGCCCCCGACAATCAGGAAAGGCAAGGAAACGGAAGGAAAGGGAGGAAGCAGCAGGCAGCAAGCGTCTCCCTCCTCCAACCAAGGAAAGCAGCAGGCCTTGAAAGGAGCGACAGCTCCTGCTGAAGCCTCCAAGAAGAGCTTTTGGTGCCGCTAGATATTGAGGGGGAGATGGAGACAGGGGACGAGGGAAGGGGTGGGGGAGGAGGAGAGATGGAAAGGCGCACAGAGGAGAAGGGAGGGAAGGAGGGAAGGAGGGAAGGAGGGAAGGAGGAGGAGGATTATAAATTGACTTGACGCAAAGGTGGTGGCTAGAGGATCAGCATATCAAGGATGCGAACCAACGACGACCGACTGACCCCGACTATGACGCATCGAGCGGTGGAATGCTTGTCTTCCTTCCCTCTCCTCCCTCCTCCTCCTCCCTCTCCTCCTCCCTCCTCCCTCTTCCTCCCTCCTCCCTCCTCATCCGTCTTCCTCCCTCCTCCTCCCTCTCCTCCTCCCTCTTCCTCCCCCCTCCTCCCCCCTCCCCCTGTCGCTAGTCCTTTCTTCCTCACGTCTATATGGATCTCCTCAGCACGCTGACCCGTGCTCAGTGTTCGTGCCGCCGGACAGCTTCAGGGAGATGACGAACTTCCAGCAGCAGGTGAGCAGCTGGGGTTGGACGCCAGCTGGGGGTCTTGACGTGACGATGGGCGGCAGTACTGGAACATCAAGAAGTGCAACTTCGACACCCTCATCCTCTGCAAGCTCGGCAAGGTGAAGCAGCGGAGTTGCAGACGTCGGGGGGTCGTGTGTGTGTGTGTGGAGGTAGGGAGGGAGGGAGGGAGGGAGGACAGCGGCTGAAGGCAGGGGAGAGGGGGAAGGAGGGCGGGACAGTCAGGCCGGATGCCGAGGATTGCTCCTTCCTCCTGCTGTCTCGCCTGCAACCCTGACTCTCATCCCTCGTCTTCTCCTCCTCCTGTCGCTCCTCGTTGGTCGAGCCGTCACTCCCTGACCATGATGCTCGCCTGCAGTTCTACGAGCTCTACGAGCGAGACGCACTGGTCGGGCACAAGGAGCTGAACCTGAACTTCACTCACGGGGGAAGAGACCCCAAGAACCCCAGGAGGATGATGTGCGTGGGAGTGCCTGAGGCTTGTGTGGAGGCGACTGCGAGCAAGATCGTTGCGTTGGGATATAAAGTGGTGAGGAGAGGAGAGGAGAGGGGGAGAAGAGAGGAGAAGAGAGGAGAAGAGAGGAGGAAAAGTCGAAGTGGATGACGCAAGTTCGCAGGGGCTTGTGGAGGAGATGGAGAAAGCGACGTCGATGAAGAAGATCGCGGACGGGAGAAAAGTATCCTGAGCGCTGCAAGACACGACGGGAGGCTGACGTGTCTCGCAAGGTCTGCGAGCGATCGTTGCGGAAAATGTTCACGCCAGGGACCCTCTGCGACGAGGAGCTGATCGGCACTCACGAGGTCTGTCTGAGTTAAGAAGTGGGAGAGACCAAATGAAGGAGGAAGGGAGGGGGAGAAGAAGAGAAAGGCTGGGAGAGGAGGAGGGGGAGGAGGAGGAGGAGGAGGAGGAGGAGATTTTCTTTTGATGCCTCTTCTTGGGACCTGCTGGAAGATCTCGATCGATACGCATTGATGTGTCTGCTGTGACTCTTGTCGCTCCTATTGTCATCTGAATGATGTTTATCTTACTTGTTCTGTGCCCTCTCTTCTCTCTTCTCTCTCCTCCTCCTCTCCTGATCTTCTCCTCAGTCAAGGCCCCTCGTCTCTGTCTTCCTTCTCGAAGAGTCCAGGACGTCCGACGACCCCCACCTCCAGCTGGGTTTCTGCTTGGTTGACTGCACAACGGGGAGGTCGGAGGGCTCAGCAGCTTCTCTCCAGCTCATCTCGTCGCAGGCTGTTGGTGGGAAGTTCAGACGTAAACGACTTTGAGGTTCTTCTGCGACAGTACACGCCGTACGAGGTGATCCTGCTGCTACTGCTACTGCTACTTCAATGCCGCCGCCGCCGCCGCCGCTACTGCTGCTGCTGCTGCTCCTCCTCCTCCTCCTCCTCCTCTTGTTCATTGCTCCCTTCCCTTTCCTCACCTTCAAGGGCTCCAGGTGCTGCATCCTCGTGGTCGCATGAGCAGCTTCCTGAAGAACATCATCCGGAGGTGCGTCCCTGCTGCCTCCTGGACCTCCCTCCCCATGGGGATCAAGGTATAACCATCTATTTCCTCCTCCTCTTGCTGCTGCTGCTGCTGCTGCTGCTGCTTCTGCTTCTGCTGCTGCTGCTGCTTCTGCTTCTGCTGCTTCTGTTGCTTCTGCTCCCCCTGCCCCTGTCCCTGCTCCACCGGGTGTTGAGCCTTACGCCTGTTGGGGTTCTCCTTCCTCTTCTCGCTGCTGATCAATCTGCTCTTTTTCACAAAAGGAAGGAGAGTTTTGGCCGAGCAGAGTGGCGCTGGAGAGACTATCCTCACAGGAGGAGGAGGAGCAGGAGGAGCAGGAGAGGACGAGGCTGTTCCTTTCACGCCTGAAGGAAGACGAACTAGCAGCCAACGCGGTAGGAGGAGTCTTGTCGTACTTGGAGAAGATCGGAAAGAGCACAAGCGTGCTGGCGATGCGGAAGTTGGAGTTTCTTGAGGAGGTCCGGACGACAGCGAGCAGGTAGAGAAGAGGGAGGGGACCAGGGAGACGAGGGTAGACGAAGGAGACGAGGAGGAGCAGGAGCAAGAGCAGGAGCAGGAGCAGGAGCAGGAGCAGGAGCAGGAGCAGGTGTTGGTGGTTAACACAAGGAGGGGGGTGGTGTGATGGCGAGGAGCTGACAGGAGTTATGTCAGGCACATGCTCCTTGACTCGCAGACTCTGTCCGGGTTGAACGTGCTGGAGCATCCGCAGGAGAAGAGGAGGGGAGAGGCGACATGCCTGTGGCACTACATCGACCGTAATGAACTCTTCTTGCTCGAGGAGGACAAAGGGGTTGGAGGGTGGGGGCGAGGATGGGGGAGGAGGAGGAAGAAATAGAGGAAACTACAGGAATCAGGAAGTAAGGCAGAGAGAAAGGAAGCAGCAGGAGCGAGGATAAAGGAAAGCAGGAGCGTGCAATTGACAGCAGGAGCAAGAAGGGTCGGACGGGGAGGGGGGGGGGGGAGGAGGAGGAGGAGGAGGAGGAGGAGTTGACGCTGGTGCAGGGGCGGCCACCTCCTTCGGCAAGCGGCTGTTGCGCTGGTGGATCGCTCGCCCTCTGGTGAGGAGGGAGGACATCAGAGCCCGGCTGGACGCCGTTCAGAACCTCCAGCTGGAGGACCTGGCTGGGCAGCTGCAGCAGCTCATGGCCAAGATGCCGGACCTTGAAAGGAAGCTGGCGCGCGTGCGGCAGCACAGCAGGAGGCAGGAGGAGGAGCAGGGGGTGGCAGAAGCCTCGGCAACGCAGAGGAGGATGGTGCGGGAGGTTGTGCAGCTGCTAGACGGGTTCCGGTTGGTCCAGGGAGTGGCGGAGATGCTGGCGGAGCGACAGGAGGAGGTGGGAAGAGGAGGAGGAGGTGGTGGTGGTGGTGGTTGGCGATGTTGGTGCTAGTGGAGGTGGTGGGAGGTGGAAGCATGGGGAGCATGGGAAGAAGGAGCAGGAAGAGGTGGCAGTGATGGCGGGAAGGGAAGGGGATGAGGCGGGAGGCAGAAGCAAGGAGGAGCAAGAGGAGGAGCGGGGGAGAAGGAAGGGGAAGAGGAACGGGACGTGTGCTCCTGACGTACTCTCGCTGGCAGATCTCTTCTCCTCTCCTCCTCAGCCTCCTCCGCAACCTCCCTGACACTTCCTCCGTCATCGAATCGGTCTCTTCCAAATTCGACATGCCCCTGGCTCGCGAGAAAGGCTCCCTCTCCCTCCTTCCTGGCTTCGATCGGTCTCTTGACGACAGTCTTAGGCGGAAGGTGAGATGGGGGAAAGATTTGGGAGCAAGCCGGGAAGGAGGAGGAGGAGGACAGGGGAAGGGTTAACGAAGGGGAGGAAAGGAAAGGGCAGATAAGGTGGCAATGAGCACAAGAAGGAGGAGGAGCAGGAGGCTATGGCATTCAGTGACCTGAAGGGAGTGCAGGAGGATGTGGACAAGCAGCTGAACGAGTACCTGCTGGAGGAGAAGAAAAGAACCTCCTGCTACAAGATGAGATTTGCCTCGAGCTCCAAGGACCCCTTCCTCCTTGAAGTCCCAGCTGATTTCCCCTCCTCCTCCGTACCCGACCACTTCGAGCTGCACAGCGCGAACAAGTCGTGCAGGAGGTACATGACAGAAAGGCTGCGCGGTTTGCTCGTGCAGCTGGAGGGGGTCAAGGAGGAGGCGGACGACTTGCACCGTCGGGCAATGGGCATGCTCTGCTGCGAGCTCGATGGCTCCTTCCCCCTCCTCTCCCGGGCTGTGGCATGCATGGCGGAGCTGGACGCCCTCTGCTCCCTCGCCAGGGCCTCCGTGAGCTCCGACGGGCTTCCCATGTGCAAGCCGGAGGTGCTGGAGGAGGAGGAAGGAGGCGGGAGCGGCGCTCCAGTCTTGCAGGTCAAGGGGATGCGGCACCCCTTCCTTGCAGGGTCGGGAGGGACCTTTATCCCCAACGACATCGAGCTTGGGGGAGGAACGAGCTGCCTCCTCCTAACGGGGCCCAACATGGGGGGCAAGTCGACGACCCTGCGGCTCGCCTGCTTCTCCGTGATCCTGGCTCAGATCGGATGCTACGTGCCGGCCGAGATCATGCGCTTCTCTCCTGTCGACCAGGTCCTCACGAGGCTCGGAGCAGGAGATGACATCCTCCGGGGCCTCTCGACGTTCATGGTGGAGATGCGCGACGTGTCCGCCATGCTCTCCTCCTCCTCCCGTCACTCCCTCGTCATCATCGATGAGCTGGGGAGAGGCACAAGCACCTTCGATGGCCTCGCCATCGCCTATGCCGTCCTCAAAGACTTGGTGCTCCTCCTCTCCCCCAGCCCTCTGCTACTTGTTCCTCTCCTGCTGTGCCCGTTCTTCGCCTCACCCCTTGCCTCACTTGCTCCCTCTTCCCTCGTCCTCTTCCCTCCTTCCAGTTTCGTTCTGCTTGTCCTTCAGCTCTCTCTCTCTCTCTCCCTGACATCCGTGCTAGGTGGACAGGGTTGGCTGTCGCACCCTCCTCAGCACTCACTATCATCTCCTCGTCGACGAGTTCCGCGAGGACTCGCGAGTCGCTCCCATGCACATGGCGTGTAGGGTCGAGGAGGAGACAGACAGACTGATCATGCTCTACAAGCTCACGCCGTCGGCATGCTCCCGCTCCTTTGGTGAAAACTTTCTCCTCCTCCTCCTTCTCCTCCCTCCCTTCCCCTTCCCCTCACTCCCTCCCAGGTCTCGAGTGCGCAAGGGCCGCAGGCATCCCCCAGGAGCTCCTCGGGAGAGCAGCAGAGGCTTCACGGGGGCTGGAAGTGAGCACGAGGAGCAAGAGGAAGCGAGAGGACCCTCCCTCCTCTTCCCCGAGCAAGAGAAGCTGCAAGGAAAGCGCCAGAGCGAGGAGCCCACAGCTCAGCAGCTTCCGGAGGATCTGGCAGGAGATCCCGCAGGGGGATCGAGCGCTGTCGGGGAAGGAGGCATTGATGGCCTTCAACACCCTGACGAGGTTGTGGGTGGAGCAATCTTGATCAAGATTCTATTGAGACACTCCCTGCTACCTCCTCTCCGTCCCCTCTCCTCCCCCTCCCTGCCACCCGCCTTCCCGCCTCCCTTCCTCCCTAGCAGGGACCTTACCTGCCTGCCTGCCTGCCTGCCTGCCTGCCTGCCTGCCTCCCCCTCCTCCCCTTCCTCCGATGTCGTGAACCTCAGCTTGCTTCTTCCCGCTCTAGCGCCTCCTCTCCGAACACGACGGAAAGGTCCACCTCCGCTTCTCCCCCTCCTCCTCCTCCGCTCGAGACCATCCGAAACTCCCGGAGTAGGCGAATGGTTCTCGCCATGTCCTCAGGCGCCGCGCCGCTGAAGCTCATCCTCTTCCCGCTGGTGGGATGCGAGAAGGACAGCAGGCAGGAGTGCAGCGCCTGTCGCTCGATGAGCAGCTGCGAGGAGCTCAGGCTCTGCTTCCTCTCCCCCATGTCCCGCGGCTTCACGACGTCCCCAACCTTGAGCTTCCTGCCCCCGTATACCTCGTCCCCCACGATCGGGTGCCGCAGGTGCGACAGGTGAACGCGGATCTGGTGGGTGCGGCCGGTGAAGAGCTTCAGCTCAACCAGCGTGAAACCCTCGTACCTCTCCCTCACCACGAAGCCCGTCTGCGACGCCTTCCCTCCCCTTCCCGCACACTGCAAACTTGATGGGGTCGTAGGGATGCCGGCTGATGGGCAGGTCGATCAACCCGCTGTCCTCCACCACCTCCCCGTGCACGAGGGCAATGTACCGCTTCCTCGTGGACCGCAGAGCAAACTGCTCGTACAGGCTCCAGTGAGCAAACTCCGTCTTGGCCGCCACCATCACCCCTGTCGTGTTCCTGTCCAGCCGATGGACGATGCCCGGCCTCGCGTTCTCTGCTCCGACCTGCGACAGGCTGCCGCTGCTCCTGTGCATGAAGTGCCATGCAAGCGCGTTCACAAGGGTCCCATTGGGAGCTGTCGGGCAAGGATGGACGACGAGGTCGGACTGCTTGTTGATGACAATCACGTCCTCGTCCTCGTGAATCACTGCAAGTGGAATGTCCTCGGGCGGCATGTCGTTGCCAGGTGGAGGAGGAAGGTTGACGACGACGGTCTGACCTGCCTTGAGCTTCTGCGCTGGCTTCGGGGTCTTGCCGTCCACCAGGACGCATTCGGCCTTGATCATCCGGTTGAGGGAAGACCTCGAGAGGATCGAGATCCTCTTCGATAGGAACGTGTCCAGACGCTCGCTGCTTCTCTCCTCGTTGGTGATGCAGACTGTCACTTGGGTCTCGTCGTCCGATCGCTCGAAGGCTTGTCGCAGAGCATCGTTGGTCAGGACCGCTGGAACTCCCCCGATCAGAATCGTCGTCCTCGCCGGCTCACTTGCTTGACCTGGAGCTACCGCACAGCTCCGCAGGCTCCTTCCTGCCATGGAAGCATGTCTGTACCGGAGAGGCGAGAGGAAGGGGGCGGGAGCAGAAGTGAAGGGACAGCAGAGCCATGCCAGCTTCTCTCCCTCCCCTCCTCCTCCTCTCGCCCACATCGCCAGCCATGGCAGCCATATTCCCCTGGCCCCCCGCATGAAAAATCTCTCTGGTATCCGCTCGAGTATCCGTGTGAGTATCCGGCATCCGGATACCCGGGCCCGTGCCCGGACGGTGCCAGGATCAGCCTCCCGGCTCCCGGATAGGCTCACTGACCGTCCGCTGCTCGGAGTACGCGGCGGGGCCAAGGCTCCCACCACGGACTCACTGCAGTGCCGCGCGGCTATGGCCGGACTGGGAACCGGGTACGGTCGACCTCATGATCGTCGTTGCCCGGCACTCAAATCGGGAGCAGCGCCGGACTACCGTACCGTACTGCCTACGGTAGTACGGCCCGGCCGGTACCGTACCGGGTGACAGTGACCAGCTTGGCCCCCGGGCCAGTACGCCGGTGACAGTGAGTGCGGGCCTGGTGACCCCCACGAGGCGCGCCGGCCGGGCCACGCCGCGGGTACTGAGGGACCGAGTCACAGAGTCACGGGGGAGTCTCTGTCAAGCAGTACGGTGAGCGGCTCCCGGCTCGCCCCATGATGCCATGCCATGATCATCCGATGCTGAGAGCCTAGTAGTAAGCTGCTTCAAGGGATGACAATCACAATCTACACTCAGTTTAACAACAGTAGCTACGGTTATCGTATTACATTCAACTTGCAAGCCGCCGCACTGGCACTGGGCAAGTTTCCGAGGGCCTGTCGGAGTCTCGCACCGTGTGCGGCAGACCGTCGCGCGTCACAGGCTGAGTCGCCGCCCCGGGAGCTCCGGAAAAATCGCTCGCAACAAATTCAAACTTCCAGGTTCGTCGGATGAACAACGGAACCCTGAAGTACCCCCACCTGAGTCCCTGGTTGGACTGCGGAAGAGCTCAGCCAGAGTCTCCAGAAGCCGCTTTTCATCACGGACTTGGAGTCTTCTCAGAGCTATCTTTGACATAGCACTCCACAACTTCATCAAAGCATCGACCATCACAGCGTACACAGTCTCACACTTGTAGTCCCACCGAACTGCGATCAGATCCGGCCTGTCACGTGATAGTATGCTTCACACCAAAGCTCCTCCTGCGATGACCCATACGCCTTCTCCCAGTCCTCGCTCTCGTACCCCCCCGTCCCTGAGCTCGACGTCCTCCCATCCTCTGACTGCGACTGAGACGTTGCTGAGCCCCTCCCATCCCGCTCTCTCGCCTTCCCTTCCAGCTCCATGAAGAACTCCTCCTGCAGCTTCTCCAGATCGCACAGCGACCTCTTGCGGGCGTAGGGCCACTTCTTGACGCCGAGCTTGCGGCAGGTGTTCTTGAGAGCTGTCAGGGAGATGCCGAGGATGTCGGCGGCCTCGGACTGCTTGAGGTGAAAGAGCTTGGCTATCTGGGGGAGGGAGACCTGGACGGCAGTCCTGACTTCTTCGTTGCCAATGCTTCGCCTTGGGAAGATAGCAGCGAGGGGCTCAGTGTCGTGGGGGGCATGGGGATCAGTCATCCTTACTATCGTTTGCCGTTAGCTGACCAAATGTTCACTTCAGAAGGTAGCGAACAATCTCTGTTTTCCAAAGCACCAGGGCTAGCTAGGTTGGAAGGGAAGGTATGTGTATGAACTCAATACCGCGATCGCGCAAGATACCGAGAAGGCTAGGCTAGCAGAGAGGAGACTTGATCCAGAGAGCAAGATGTGATAACCGGAGCGGCCCAGCTAGGCAGCGAGGAGAGGAGGGGGGAGCTGGGCAGGAGTATGCGTCAGGAGTTGTGGAATCCGCTGCACGACGAAGGGAGCTGGCTACCCAAGGCCCATTTTACTGCTGGAGATATCTGCCCTAGGGGGTGGGGTAGTAGGGGAATGGTGCCACCCACCTTCCCGGTTCCATTCAGGGAGTCAGGGAAACATCGGGGGGGGGGGGGGTTGAGTACCCCCTTATTGCCGGAGGAAACGTTGGGTGGTGTTGGATTACTCATGTCTCCTTGCAGTTCAATCGACCGCTCTAGAATCTGTTTGAGACCTGGGGGGTAGGGGTCCAGATGCTGAGAATAACGCCGTGTAGTAAAATCTTGATACTCGGATGGGTGGTCGCGGCTTTCACAAGGGCGCCGGAGTTCTGATCTTTCGAGCCCAAGGGGGGTGGGGTGGGGTGAGGTAAGGGGTGTAAGACGGAGGGGTGATACGGGAACAATCACAAGTGAGGGTCACATCATAACGACTGTCTGCTATAATGGTGCACCCACCCTACCCCTTCCCTACAATAATGGTCCACCCACCCCATCCGTTCGGTTCAATAACGTCAAACTCCGTTCGAAGAGATCGCAGTCGAAACTCTTTCCTTGGGGTCACTGGGTATGTCTGCTGAGTTGGGTGGGGTAGGGGGTCAGATTTTTAAAATAAAAAATTCGCTAGAGGTCAGCTTTGGGGTAGGGTATGTGCAGCTATCCTTGACTCAGTAGTGAAGCTAGTGGCCTTTTCTCACCCAAGGCTTTCAGGGGCTGAGGGGGGCTGAGGGGTTCCTGGGACCCAGGGGGGGTGTAGGGGAGATCCGCAGCGGTTGACCTCCCGATCTCGAGATGTCATTTGATTCACTGAGTCAGTAGTAATAATGATAAAAGTCCCTTTCGGCTGCAAGATACAAACCCGTGGAAGATCACAACAAATATTCTTTATTATTATTTTGACTGAAAAAGCCTGAGATCTGTACTGCACCGGGGCCCGGCGACTCAGGTGAGGACAGCAGCCCGGCGAGTCGCCGCCGCCGCGAGTGACGCGGCCGCCGGAGTCGGCGCCGACGGTACTCAACAGAGTAACGTGATCTCTTTGGAGCCTTTACTCAACAGAGTTGAGTGATCTCTTCGGACGGATCCCCTGGGCCCCGCCAAGAGGCACCCCGGCCCGAGGGTGCGCATCTCTTCAGGAGGGGTCATTTATAAGAGATTGGGGGGACTTCTTGTGGGGAGGGGTGGTCACAGCTGAGTCAGCCAGCAACTTGACTACACCGGAAAGAGTCGGAACCCAGAGTGCAAAAAAATGCAGGTGATCACCCCACCCTCCCTGTAGCCAGGAAACAAACATAACCCCAGAAATGATGGTACTTTGAGTGTAGAAATGAGGGGTACAATGTGAATCCTAAACCACCCCTCGAACCAAATACGCCTCTGTACTCGGAGCGGGTACTATGATTCTTTACTCAAAGTTAAGTGAAAAATCAGTACGAGGACAATCAGGAGAGTCGAGGAGGCTTGACCCTGACACTGTCGCACAGGCCAAACGGCGAGAAGAGAAAAGACAGCGAGAACCAAACCTAAACCTGCCGACTGCTGTCCCCCAAACTTAACTGATACCTTCACTTAACGGCGCGCAGGACAAGTCCCCCGCGCGGCCATGCCAGCGATGTCGCGGTGGCCGCCGCCGAAGGAATGAGACGCATACCGGGATGCACCCGCGATGATGGCAGCGTAGGACAGGGAGGCCTTGAGCTGACGGAAGATCCTGGACCGGATGCGTTTGCAAGTCGGATCACCTGAGACGTCTTGCGAGGCCGAGAGACCATCCAGCGCTGCCGTTTCCTTGTTCGCCGAGCGATCCGCCAGCCACCACAGAAAGCGCAACGCATCGTCCTGCAAGAGGCCATCAGTGCTGGCGATGATGGGAAGAAAGGCCTTTGGCGGGACGTGCTGAGCATATGCATTACGATGCCCTCGGATCTTCCGCTGTGCTGCCGCTTGCAGTTTGCTCCGAGCGAGGTCCGGTATTCCATCATTGTCAAAAACATGTGACATGCTGAAGTCCAGGATTAACCCATGCCATCCGCCGCCAGTAGCCGGGTACAGTACGGTTTCTGTGTAAGCCCTCATTTGGTCGTACCTCCATCCCCTGGAAATGCGCGGCTGAGGACCCCTCCCCCTTCATCGCTCCGCGGCTGAGGACCCCTCCCCCTTCATCGCTCCTCTTTGTACTGCCTCGCTCTCCTCCTCCTTCTGTGCTCATCACTCAGGCCAGCCCGGGCCGAGCAGCTCAGGCAAACCTGCCGCTTCGCCACATCATCTCATCGAGCAAGGGCTGCCACTTGCTTGCTTTCGTTGTCTGCTGGAGCACAAACTGAGCCCTCCCCACTTCACCATCCGTTTTGACGAGGATGACTGATCCCCATGCCCCCCACGACACTGAGCCCCTCGCTGCTATCTTCCCAAGGCGAAGCTTCGGCAACGAAGAAGTCAGGGCTGCCGTCCAGGTCTCCCTCCCCCAGATAGCCAAGCTCTTTCACCTCAAGCAGTCCGAGGCTGCCGACATCCTCGGCATCTCCCTGACAGCTCTCAAGAACACCTGCCGCAAGCTCGGCGTCAAGAAGTGGCCCTACGCCCGCAAGAGGTCGCTGTGCGATCTGGAGAAGCTGCAGGAGGAGTTCTTCATGGAGCTGGAAGGGAAGGCGAGAGAACGGGATGGGAGGGGCTCAGCAACGTCTCAGTCGCAGTCAGAGGATGGGAGGACGTCGAGCTCAGGGACGGGGGGGTACGAGAGCGAGGACTGGGAGAAGGCTTATGGGTCATCGCAGGAGGAGCTTTGGTGTGAAGCATACTATCACGTGACAGGCCGGATCTGATCGCGTTCGGTGGCACTACAAGTGTGAGACTGTGTACGCTGTGATGGTCGATGCTTTGATGAAGTTGTGGAGTGCTATTTCAAAGATAGCTCTGAGAAGACTCCAAGTCCGTGATGAAACAGCGGCTTCTGGAGACTCTGGCTGAGCTGTTCCGCAGTCCAACCAGGGACTCAGGTGGGGGTACTTCAGGGTTCTGTTGTTCATCCGACGAACCTGGAAGTTTGAATTTGTTGCGAGTGATTCTTCCGGGCCGCTACCCGGAGCTCCTCTGCCGGGCTCCAAATAGAACTTCCGAACTCGGAAACTTGCCAGTCGTGTTCACGGTTGCAAGTTGAATCATTGTGTACTACAGTAACCGTAACTACTCAGTTGTTAAACTCAGTGCTGAGTGTAGATTGTCATCCCTTGAAGCAGCTTACTAGCCAGTAGGCTACTCTGAGCATCGGAGCCTCAGCGGCTTCAGTACAACGGCGGTTGACTCCACAGATGATTGTGACTCTCACTTACTGAGTGCCCCGGGCCCCGCCGGGGGGGCGGCGGCCGCGCCGCCCGGGCCCCGGGTTCCGGCGGCCACGACGGGGGACGGTGCCCGGCACCGTGGGCCGTGAGTCCCCCAGCGGCGTCAGTCACGCCGGTTGGAATTCCGAGTACGGTTGGCCCGGGCGGTGTCCGGCCCGTCACGCCGGGCTCACAGTGAGTCACGAGCGTGAGTGTCAATCGGATCATGATTGAATCGTGGCATCGCTTAGCCTGACTCTCAGTGACGGCCGGGCGGCCGCGGCGCCGGCCCGGCCCACGGCCCAACAGAGGCTACCAGAAAGTACTGGACAATGGCGGCGAGTCACACGTTGCGAACTTGGGCCAAGTTGAGCTCGGAAGTTCCGGCGGCCCGGTACCGTACTGTCGGAGCGGCGGCCCGGCGCGGGCCCGGGCCGGGCCGGGCCCGGTATGAGGGGAGATGAGGGACAGTCTGAGTCACATGACGGAAATAGGAAGATCGCGGGGATGCCGTTGGGGAGGGAGAGGGGGAGGGGGGGGAAGGGGGAGGAGCTGTGAGGATCGGGGAGGTTGAACCCTCAACATGTGCATGCGTTGAGTAGGGAGACATGCTGCTCTCCCTGAGGTCTCATCAGTGCTGCACTCGTTGACGGGGATGCAATCATGCCTTGGATTGAATGAGATTTTTGTGGTGGAAGCGTTGGAGTTGAGATGGCTGGTGTGATGGTGTTGGTCTCACTGGAAGCCTCTTCTGCCGCAGATGTCGGGAAGGGAAGAGGAGGAGCTCATGAAACACAGCAAGGAGCTGCTGTCCGGGGACAAGCTATCCCTTCTTGCGAACAGGCAGAAGCGTTCAGCCCAGGTTGACCCTTCTTCCGGCGTCGTCAGTCCATGTCAGCGCACTGACGGCGTGAGAGCAGGACCCCTCCGACGTTCACGGGGGAGGGAGCGGGAAACACGACGACATGTTGAGCAAGCTCCAGACTCTGTCGAACAAGCATGGAGGGAGCAGCGCCAGACATTCCTTTCAGGTGAACGAGAGTGAATGCGTTGAGCCCTCTGGCGTCCTGACCGGTTGAAAGTCCCTGGACGAGCACGACAGGCTGTCTGTCAAGAGCGATGACACCGAAGACGGTCTCGAGGACAGCGAGGGTCGCAGGAGCAGGCCTTACACTCAGGACTACCTTGACGTGACCAGGTCTGTCGACGTGGGTCGGTGCCGACGTGCCTGACGATGGTTGCCTGCTCGCAGCCTCAGCTCTGCCTCGCGGCGATCTGCTGCCCCGCACATCTTCAACATCTACGAGCAGATCTTCATCGATGGGACTGACGCAGCGCAGAAGCGCTTCCACGTGCCGGAGCTTCCCGAAGAGGTGAAGGAGACGAGTGGAGGATGTGGGGCAGGGCTGAGGCGATGGGGGGCGGGGATGGAATACAAGGATGCTGGAGTGATGAAATGAGGAGGGGGAGAGGGAGAGGGAGAGGGAAAAGGGGTGAGAGACTGTACAGGTCCAGTCGTCGATGAGGCCAACGAAGTACGACTTCGAGGCTGAGCTTGGGATCGTTGGGACCAGAGTAGAAGCAACGCTGTACATAGCAGAGGTAAACAACAACGTCCTGTCCTCCCTGAGTCTAACGCCTCCTTGTTTCCTGCTTCTCTATCCTCGCCTCCATTCCTCCCCTCCGACAAACGAATACTTCCCCTCCTGTCTTCCCGTCCTCCTCCTCCCTCTCCGCTCCGTTCCTTAATGGCCTACTGCAGTCTTGGGATCATCTCACGGCGGGGAAAGGAGACAAGAGCATGATAGAGAAGCAGGTTGACCTGGAGGCAGTCAACGCTTCCTGTTGGTGAATGGAGGTGTGCAGGTCGTGGCGGATCTTGCCGTCTCCTTAAGGACAGACAAGTCGAGGCTTCGAGTCGCCGATGTCAGGCCCTCCAAGGACAAGAAAGGCGTCGAAGTCTCCATCCTCATCATGCCCAGCGTGGAGGAGGACGAGCACGACGCTGTACAGGTGCACTGCCCTCCGACTTGATGCCGGGAGGAGGGGGAGGACTGAAGAGGTCGATCAGATCGGAGAGCGTCTACAGCAGGAGTCTCAAGCTCCAAACAGCATCTTGCGCTCCATGAATTCAACGCGTCGACTGGTCCGAGTGAGCACCAGGGAGGTTAGTGCGCGAGAGCTGAGGGGAGGAGGACTCATCAGTGACTTGGCCGATGCAGATCAAGGCTGCTGGGAGTGCGGGGGCGGAGTCGATTGCAGGAGGATACCCGTCGCTGCTGCGGTCGGGGGTTGTGATGGACGACAGGAGCGTACGACCCTCCTTGTCGGCTGTGCATGGCCAAGTGCCGACGGAGCTGAGGGTGGGGAACGACAAGTACGCGTCTAAGGTGCTGCGAAGAGGAGGAGGCATTGAGGGAGCGCAAGGGAGATCGAAGAAGGGGGGAGGCAGAGGAGAGAGGAGAGGGGAGGAGAGGAGAGGAGAGGAGAGGGGAGGAGGGAGGAAGGAGAAGAGAAAGAAAAGATAGAGGAGAGGAAGGGGAGAAGGAGGACAGCTGATGGAAGGAGAAGGAGAGGAGGGCGAATGCAAGGGAAGGGAGGGAGACTGAAGAGTAGAGCACGGGAGGGGGTCTGAAGGAAGGGCAATGTAGAGACAGGAGCTCACGGCCCTCTCCCTGCAGGAGTATCTGGATTGGCAGCAGCGGGAGCGGGAGGAGGTGCAGCAGGTGACGAGGCGCTCGATCGGCTTGCTCACTTCCTTGACTTCCCCAATCAGATCCAGCAGGCGCGGACAGCACAGGACGGTTTCTGGGTCGACGTGGAGGCAGGAAACCAGGTAGGAATTCCCCGCTCGTCGTCTCCTTCCCTCCCCTTCTCCAGCCCCCAATCCCTTCCTTTCCCCTTCCCCTTCCCCTTCCCTTCCCCTTCCCTCTCCTCCCCTCCCCTCCCTCCCCTTCCCTTCCTTTTCCTCCCCTTCCGTGTCCTGTCCTTCTCCCTGTCTCTTGCTCTGCCTTCCTCCTCCCGTTTCCTCCCTCAGTGACTTCGATGTCCTGCTGCACGATCTTCCTCGACCTGACACAGTCTGCAGCAGGAAAAGAGACAAACTTACGGAACTTTCCGCCAGAAGGGCGAAGGGAGGAAGGTATGTTTCCACCAGCCCTCTTCTTCGTCTTCGTTCTCGCCCTCGCCCCCCTCCCCCTCGTCCTCATCCTCGCCCCCCTCCATCTCCTTCTCCTCATCCTCGTCCTCCTCATTCACTAGCTCTCCCACATTCCCTCCTTCCTCCTTCCTCCCCGCACCACCTCACCATTCCGTTCAGCTCCCCCCCTGGGTTTGGCAACTGCTCTCCCTCGCTGCCGTCATCGTCCTCTGCATGATCCTCTGCGCCATCTACGTTCGGTTTTTCCAGCACCGGGAGGGACGATAACGACCCGAGGAGAAGGAGAGGGAGGAGGATACGATCAGCATGTTAACGGGACGAGGAAGGGCATCCATAGAGACTAGAGGAGGAAGACGAAGAGGAGAAGCGAGTAGGGGGTGGACGGGAGAAGAAGAAAGGGAAGGGAAGGGAAGAAGGAGAAGCGACACTGGAAGGGGAAAAAAGGTAGAGGCGATTTCCTTCCCTCCCCTTGTTGTCCGTTTGTAGATAATTTATTTTTGTTGTTCCTTCTTTCCTTACAGCTACTAGTTTAACTATGAGACAAGCCCTTCTCTCCCTCCCCTGGCTTTAAGCTCCTCCCTGTGCGGCTGCTCCTCCAGCTGGGCCGTTCGTCCCCACAGCTCCTGTGCTGACGTCAGCCGCAGCACAGCAAGAAGGAAGGAGAAGGTCGAGGAGACATCCTTGTGACAACCGAAGGGGGGGGGAGGGATATCATTCAAGGAAGGAGTGGAGTGGAAGGAGGAGAGACAGGAGCAGCACAGGTGTGCTGAGTAGAGCAGGTGGAGTTTGTTCACCTTGCGGTCCTGGGGCACCCGGAGCTCCATGTG